CACCCACATCAGCTTGAGGCAGAGAGGGAGGGAAACATTGAGCCAGTTACTCTGGGGGATTATTAGGTGACCAGATGGTGAAAGCCAGGTGAACCCCCTACTCTTTGCGAGAAGTGCCATGGGATCTTTAACGACCACACTGAGTCAGAACCTCGGTTTAACGTCTCCTCCGAAGAACAGCTGCTCTTACAGCGCAGTGTCTCCATCACTAACACACTTATTATTAGAACCAGAGGGAAGACTGCCCCCAACTGGCCCACCAGCATCACTTCTAGCAGCAACTCATGTTTCCCAGGAGGTCTCCCATCCAGGTACTGAACAAGTCTAAACCTGCTGAGCTTTGGTTTACATTACTTTGGCTGCTGGCCAATGTAGATGATCTGATAAATGGTGGTGGTGATTCCCGACTGCGACCCATCCACCAATGTGTCCCTGAGCAGGACACTTAACGCCTAGTTGCTCCAGAGGCGGTAAAATTAATAAATTTAAAAACTGTTGGAGATAATGAGTAAATAAGAAGCCAGTGCTGGAAGGTTGTAAGGATTGTTTGAATGTGTACTTTACAAAAGTGAAAAAATGCTAAGACTTCTAGTGTTGACATTTACTCTGGTTTGTAATAATTCTACATTTGTTTCAGCAGAAAACAGTACAGCACAGTAAGAGACTTGAAGTCAGAAAGTACATAAATGAACATCCTGCATTCATTTATCCATTCAAGTTGTGATTTTTTAAGCTCAAAAGATGCAGTTTTATGTCTCAGAGGTTTAAAACATGTTGACATTAACCCACTAGTGGTGAGAATGAGCTGTGGGCCCCTATAGGGCCTCCGTGTGAGGTTATTAAATCACAAATTTATTCACACCATGTAAATTTTGACATACAGCTCCTCTACCAGGCACATTTGCAATCATCATTTTTGTCAAATGACCACAAACCAACCAATGAATATTGGCCCCTTGACACTCAGGAGTCCCAGGAAAGTTCCCTGTACCCTAATCCAGTCTTGATTATGTTCCTCTGAACCAAATCCAGACTGAAAAATGAGCGATTTAGAGAGTATTTATGATTACTAAACCAGGAGATAACAATCTAGAACAAAAACCACATGAAAACAGCTGGACTTAATATGTCACTCTCACACAGCATCTAGCAGCTGCAGCAGATGTTATTTTGTGTGTGAACATTAGAGGGCAGCCTCTCATTCGAGGACAAAACATGAGAAGCACCAACCTTCATCTCATCATAACATCTATTGTAGTCATGCAAATTTGAACAGGAGTGTGACCATCAACACTTACCTTTCACCTCTAGATAGATAAATAGAAGATAAATATCGCAGAGGTGAGAAAATACCTTTTGGAACATGTATTATTACATTTTCCATAAAGCAGTTTGTGTCTCGGCTTTGAGCGTTGATGATAGGCCGTTTTCAGAATCATCAGCTGCTCTCTTTTATCTTATATTTCAGTTCCTGTTCACGGTGCAGGTGTCCTCAGTCATGACCCTGCTCACTCCTTTCCGTCCGTTAATCTGATGTCTCCAGTAATAAGCTTACTAGAGCACAATCTGAGATCAGGAATAGGACAACATGCAATGAGTTCTGTGAGTGGGCTGTCCAGGTTAGAGGTTAGACAGAGCGCAAAGGTTAGTACAACATGACCAAGATAAAGCAAATATTATATTATAAAATAGCTTTATTTATCCGAGGCTGAGAATTTTCAGTTTGAAATAAACAGTCATCAGTTGAAATGGCCGTAATAATTTCCATTAAACAGACAGCTTTCTTATTTTGTCCTTACAAACCACACATCTGATCTTACTTGTGTTGTTTTACAGCCTGAACTTGTAGCTGTTGTGTAGCTCAACTTGAAACCATAAGAATCTCACAGGTTCTTGAGAAAGGTGACACTAGGATGAGAAATCATTTCTCAAGAGCTAAAATTAAATTACTGAAAGTGGAGAAAATATGTGTGAAGGCAGGTTTCGGTTTTAAGTACGCCCCTCTTAATGTCTCTTTGGCACTTTAGTCTGCCATATAATATCTAAGACTACAGCCGTGCCAGCAGCTCTGTGAGGCTATACTCTATGCACATTGGTTCTTTGAGTTAACATGTCGTTGTTAAGCAGGTAGGCTATAATGTTCACATGTGTGTTAACATGTTGCCAAGTAGCACAGCAAAGCTGCTTTATATGTCTTTAGTTTTTCAGGTATTTGATAAAACCAAAGTACCTGATGAAAAGTCAGAGATCAGCAAAGTGGTTACAATTCATCCTGAGGGGAACATGAATGTCTGTACTAACCTTTAAATTTAGAGATATAAAACAGAATGAGCTAAAACTGATACCTGATGGTGGCGCTAATGAAGATAATTATGCAACACTTTTTTAAACCCAACTCGTCACACATGGCGCTTGGTCAAGACCCCTTAGCATCTTTTTAATGCCCAGGGTATCACTTTAGTGTTGTTATTTGACGTGTAGGGCTCAAGTCAGCAATAATAAATATGCAACGTCCAGTTAGACTTTGAAAATAAAACTTGTGGTTAACGTTGTGAACGTCGCAATTTGGTTCGTTATAGGCAACATAGTAACTATTTTGTTAGGTTTAGGTAACAAAAACATCATCCAACATCATCATTTGCGTGAAAATGTCACTTAACATACATAAGTTAAGTAACGCTACTTGTGTAAGTTACGCAACTTACGTAACTTTCACAAACATTCATTGACTTTTTGTTTTACTTGGGAAGCAAACACTAGTATCCAGGGTAAAAGTCCGGTTTCTGGCCCACACGTCCACCCAAACCACCTCCTTACTTGAAATTTTGTGTTAAATATCCCACACCTAGGCTACCTTGCATGAATGAAACGACAGGGCTTCCCCAGTGCGTTACAAACTGACACCAATGGGTCTTGACCATGTTTTCATATGTGATGACTTGGGAGTAAGAAACGTGTTGCCTCTGGGCACCATGAACGTCTCTGCCAAATGTAATTCCAATCCATCTAATAGTAGTTGATATATTTCCCTAAAAGACAAACATGTCATCCTGTTGGTGGAGCTAGAAGAAAAGGCAGTCAGTAGAATCCATCCTCTGGGGACCAACAATGACTGTGCAAAATGTAAATAGCTATTGAGCCCTGCTGCTAGCTCCAGAGAAAAGACTAATGACTGAAGACCATTAAATTAGTCTTTATAATATATTGGTGCACAGCAGTGTGTATTTGAGTAACATACTGACTGTAAATCAATACATTGGCCAGTTCACCTCCCTACAGGGAAATTATAGGAGGATCAGTGATTCTACAAATAAGTTACTTTTGATTTATAGCCAACCAAACACCTTCTGTGTAATCACCATCTCAAACACTTGTACAATTGTGTGATGTAAGTGCAGATTTAGTTGGCCTCATTAGAAACTCACAGCTCAGCTGGGCAATCAGGGAGCTCAGACATTTGGCACCCAGGCTTTGGCTCTGCACCCTTAGGTGACAGGACTGCATTCCTCAGGCCAGACATGTCAATCTGCAGAGTATTATAAAGAAGTTAACGTGACCTACGATACATATTCATTTGAAATTGCACAATATTTGCATAAAGTATGGGACACAACTCACCTAACATTCCTCTGGGAAAAAAAGGCATTGCTGTGTGAAGAATCTTTTTACAGAGGGGGTGATTATGTCCTTTGAACAATCGAAAAACTAATTTGAAAGACTTTTGTACTTACAGATTAGATCAAAACTCTCACAGTACCTTGGAGAACTCATAAAAGTCCCAGAAATAACTAATATCAAAAATGTATTTATAACGATAATGGAAAAGAAAACTCCTACAGGAAGTCAAATGTTTAAGATAATAAATGGTTTAAAGAACACTAATAGTGGCACCCTAGAAAAGACTTGGGTGAAAGATTATTATTATTTAAGTTTATTAATAGGAAAACTTAAACTCCTGAAATTATATAGTGATGAAAAGAGTTGGCACTGTAATGAACAAAAAGTTTTATTCTTTCATATGATATGGAAATGTTCAAAACTTCAAATATTGTGGAAGGAAATAATGTCCATGTTATCCCATGTTTGGATCCCAAATTATGCATTTTGAATTATATGGATGATAAAAACTGGAAAAAAAGATAGTGTCGGTTGGATTTATGAGTGCAAAACGAGTTATAGCAATTATTAGGAAGACAATTAACAACATAAACGAGAAATCACGGCTTCTAACATTTGATTTGTTATTAAGCTTATATCAGACATTATATATGGACCTTCTCCTGTAACTTGGTATCAGATTAATACTCAGATTTACAACAACTCTGTCCTGACTAAATAATTATTAAATATTAACTTTTCATGTCAAAGATACTATATGGTGGGATGTGCAATGTTGCAGATAATCCAGGAATATCTTACTTTGTTATTTTGTTGTTTATTTATTTATTGTTGTTGTCATTTTTCTTATTTTATTTTGTAATTTGATCTGTATGGAATATGTTTTTCCTCCCCGAGCATGTGTTGAATAAAAAAGAAAGAAAAAAAGAAATTCATGTGACCTTATGATTCACTTTAGGAAAAGTCATTTTATAGTACATTTGTGTTAAAATATTTTAAGGAGGAAAACTGCATTAAACAGTCACTGACTATTTAAAAAAACAACAACCATGAAATACAATAACATCACTATGAATTCTTCAGTTACACTGGAAACATGGAAATATAATTACAAATGGAAATAACGTACTTTTTTTCAGGACTATTAAACTGTGTTATGTAAATTGGCATCATAGGAAATGAGGGATTACAGTAAGAGCCTCTACTGCAGGTGTTGTTTCATCCATCAATATGTCTGCTTCTGGCTTTAGCAACGTGCCTACCCGTGTGTGTGTGTGCGTGTGCACGTGTGTGCGGACACTGACAGAGTTTGCGCGGAGCAGCAGAGAGATTAGCGCTCTCTCTGGATCTGGACGTGCGCACTGCGTGTTCCCAGCTCTCCGACTGTTTGCTGGAATATTCCGGGCATCGTTTAAACTTAGACATGGAGGGACTGAATCATTTGTGGGAACCTGTTCACTTCTGACGGAGTCATTAGGCATTTCAGGAAGATCAGATGAAAGGTCGGGGGTTTAACTTGAATTTGGAGACTTTTTACGCGCGTGGATAGCCTCGTCCTGTAGCTCAACAGTTTGTGACTTTATTTAGAGTTAGGAGTAATGACCGTGTCTTTGGAGCTGAATAATGGACCTGGTGTCATGACATTTTATACAGAACTTGTGATTTTCTGGACTCATCTCAAGTGGCCTCATGAGAGATAATCCGTTTTTATATAGAGTGGAACTATTTACATTTTAAAGTCATTTAAAACGGAGTTTATAACAGGAATCATTTGTTAGCGAGTCAAATGGCAGAGGAATATGAGCTGTACGGGGCTTCAGAGTTTATTAAAGGTAAGTTACACATGCGTTTATGATGTATTATAATGAGTAATAAGAATTATCTGTGAACCTACTCAAACATCCATCATGGAGGGTGAATATGCTGTTGAGTGTAATTGGGTAGCTATAAATAAACTAGCTGAACAACAAGACTTCTATAGAAAAATATAGGACTTTAAATACATAAATAACATATTGTGTTTAAACTATAACTTGTTCTCTTGAGTAACCACAGACTAACAATGAATGTCAATAGGGATATCATAGTTATCCCACAATGATTCCTTAAGAGAAAAATACCACTTAGGTTAACTATTGAGAACCACAGACACGCTGTAGATTCCCATTGGAAAACTGCTGAATGCTTCATTGATTCTGGTTGGTTTATTCTGTTAAAAAGAGGTAAAACAAATGGAAGTTCGGCCTGTTTACCAATATCTGTAGGAGCTGCAGGAGTGGCTCATGGAGGGAACTAAGGCAGCTCCTGATTACTTCAAACATGGCACTTCCTCTCTGAGTCATAACTGAGTCAAGTCTCAGCACACAGACTTAACATGCAGATTTTTAGAGTCAGTGTGACACTTTGTGATGATACCACCAGTCCATCGCAAACAAACATCCATACATCTGCTTAGAAACAGAAAAAAGACGCTTCTTAACTCCAGAACTGGATTTTAAGAGGAGTATTTCAGTGATAGTTGTGCGTACATCCATGGCTTCACTGCAAACTGGAACTGCCAATAGCTAATTTGGCATTTAATGGTGACAATTTAATTCAGTATATAGGTTTCAGTAGTGCTAGGATTAAGTCTATTTAAACAGGTTGGGTAACAGGCAGTGTGGTTTAACGTGAGGAGCTTGTGTGAACATGTGCTCATGGCGCCTAAACAGAGAAGCTAGAATAAAAAGTCTCTGTATTAAACTTTGTGATCCTTGAGGAGGTTTTAGCAGTCAACATTAATTTAGTGTACAAGAAATTTAAAAAAAGAATTGTGGGTGCAATTAGAGGTTTCACTGTCAGTACGATGATCTCTTTCTCTATACAGTCCATTGAACAGCATGATTTACTTTGTAAATTGGAGGTTGATGTTTTACTCTGTGTCCCCGACATGAAAGCTAAACTGTCTGTGTTGCACCTGAACTCACAACACCTATCAATAATGCAATGTTATCTGTCTGCTTGTGTGTGTGTGTGTGTGTGTGTGCTGTACACCACAGACAGGCTGTACTTTACCACTCTACGTGTCAAACCAAAGAACACGGCCAACACACACTACTTCAGCACGGATGAGGAGTTCATCTATGAGAGGTAAGCCTCTGTGATAAGCAGCTGCATCACATTAACGTCACTCATCAACATCAATCCCAGAGATAATGCCAACACAGAATACTAAACACAACGCAAGGCAGCGGGACGGAAATACATTTGTACAGGTGCTCCTCCAGATCGGGTAACAAAACAGTAGCAAGAATTTAAACAACATCAATACAATATATATAGTCGCCTGACAGAGGTTCACCAGGTATCAGAACGTAGTTTAATTCGAGCTCTCTGGAATATTCTGATACTGTGAATGAATATTTTGTACTTGTGTGGCCTGTAAAATGGGTGTGAGCAGTGTTGTTAATACTTGCCTTTTAGTATCTATGCTGTTTAGTTGGTGTAATCAGACTGGAATCAATAGTAATGTTGCCACTAGTTTAACATTCAATATGTTTATACATGTAGGCTACAAGGTGCATAATATTAAATACACTAAATTGAAAATATCTACACTAATTAATATACACTAATTGAAAACTGAAAATATAAAGACCAGCAAGTTCTCATTCCAGGTACACTGTGTCACGTCTTTTGGCGTCTGTATCAACGCACTTGGAACCCTTTTACTTCATCGTTCAACGCAGTGGGGAAAGCCCTTTAGAGCCTTTGTTAATTGTTAGTCAGAGCAAGGAGTTGGTTGGGGTGGACAGGTGGTACAAACAGTCAACATTGATGTTGCGTAGGTACATAGGAAGTTAAAAATCAAGGCGTCTTGACCTAAGGGCAAAAATGACACCTACTTACTCTAACGTTTCTGTTATTTATAGAAATACTTTCAGTGTGGAACAACAGTGCTAAAGGTCTTACCCCAGTGCGTTGAACTATAACGCCACAAGGCGACTGATTGTTCACAGGACTCAGATGACTTTAACAACATAATAGTAAATGTTCATTTGTGTGTCATTGCCACACAAGTACAGGCTTTGTTAAGGTTAACATCTAACTAGTTGTAGTTCAATATGTTTTTAAAATGTTCCTCCTCTTTGCTCTTTTCTTTTTTAACACCTGTTCTCGGTCAGTACTGATAAGTATGGAATTGAATATCACGTGCATCAAACCGATGCTTTGTCTTATTCGGGATTTCATAGTCTGGAGGCAAATGTTTGGCTTTATAGGTTAGCAGCAGGGTCTTAAATTTACCGTGAGGCACCACAGGGACCCAGAGGAGCCAATGAAGGGTTTGGGCAGTTTGAAGAACAAACAGGACGCTGAGTTGACCATCTGCAAACCAGGTTGTTGCAATAATCCAATCTGGCAATGATGATGATGAACATGACTTATTTCTAAATGCCGATTCATGTCATCAGGCTCATAAGTATCATAGATGTGATATTTTAACTGACCATTGGTAATTAGCCTCTCTTCTATAACAGGTTAATGCAAAGTGAAAAGGTTGCAAGCGAAAAGTAAAGAACATTGTTTGATACTTCAAAAGCACTGTCTTTATATTTGTATACAGTATACACATATTGGAGAGAAGAGATGTATTAGACAGCACACTCTGAACGACACAGGCGTTACATTCATCATGTGCACTGTCACAGGAAATATTGTTTCTGGCCTAGATGCAGACACAAGAACAGAGCCGGTTAAATTAGTGGTGTTTATTTGAACCAAACTGTGGAAACTTACAGTGACGGTGAGGCAGTCCAAAACCAAGCGACGTACATCCAGAAACAAACAAGTGATAATCCGCACGACAGAGTAGAAATCCACAAGACATCTGAAAACAACACAGGTTGAAACGATGAAGTGGCGACTAACAACAGGAAGACAATGACTTATAGACACAGGAGGAGGGGACATTAAAGGACAGAAGTGATTCACATTAGACAATCAGTGAACCCACCCGTTCTCACTCCCCGACTCGTCACATATGGACGCATGGTCAAGACCCATCAGCGTCAGTTTGTAAGGCACTCGGGATCCCTATGGCGTCATAGTTCAACGCGGTGGGGGGAAGCCCTGTAGGGTCAGTTTTTGATGGTAAAGGCAGGTATATGATATTTAACACAAAAGACTGAGGAAGGAGGTGGTTGGGGTGGATGGAGGGCCAGAACCCTGACTTTGAACCAGGAGACCCGTGTTTGTGTCCTGTGTGAAACCAAAAGTCAACATTAAATATTTTTATTTACGTTACACAAGTAACGTTAGTTAACTTACGTGTTAACTGACCTACGTAGTTATTTTAACCCAAACCATGATCTTTTCCTAACCCTAACCAAGTACTTTTTGTGCCTAAACCTGACCAAATTGCAACATTTCACAACTTTAATAACATGCCGTTTAAAAATGGCGATGTTTTGAAACGCCAGCGTTTTATTTTAAAAGTCTAACCAGACGTTACATATTTTGTTGCTACGCATTGCTAACTTGACTGCGGAGCTAAATGGGTACCCAGGGCGTTAAAAAGTGTCGCCAAAGGGCCTTGACCAAGCATCAATATGTAACGAGTCGGGAGTGAGAATGTGTTGGGAGAACAAGTGTTGTAGTACTCAAGACCGGTTTGGTCTCGAGACCAGTCTTAAGACCACTTTTTGATGGTCTTGGTCTCGTCTCTGACTCCACCGCATTTGTACTCTGTCTTGTCCCGGTCTCGGATATTGAGGACTCAGGATTTTATTTCTAGACCAGTCAAGACCATGACTTTGGGAATATCAATAAATTGCTTTTGCATTGTCTGACTTATTTGTTAACATCCTAACTTTGATTGGATGTAAAACGTATTGTTTCAAATGCAATTAAAAATTAAAAATGTGTTGTTACTGACCGTCCCCCCTTCCCGCGATGGTAAACATGGAAAAGGAGTGTTGAATAAAGATGCTTACGTTGATTCAGCTCTTAATATTTTAATGGGAATGTGGATCTTTCAGATCAATTTGAGAAGTACCTATGATCTCGTTCCACATTTTATTGTGTGTCATGTAATGTGGGGAACTGGTCTTGGTCTTGACTTGGTCTCGCCCTCCCTCAGTCTTGGTCTCCACTTGGTCTCAGCCCCTTAAAGTCTTGGTCTTGTCTCGATAAACTCTGGTCTTGGTCTTGACTTGGTCTCGCCCTCCCTCAGTCTTGGTCTCCACTTGGTCTCAGCCCCTTAAAGTCTTGGTCTTGTCTTGATAAACTCTGGTCTTGGTCTTGACTTGGTCTCGCGCTCCCTCAGTCTTGGTCTCCACTTGGTCTCAGCCCCTTAAAGTCTTGGTCTTGTCTCGATAAACTCTGGTCTTGGTCTTGACTCGGTCTCGCCCTCCCTCAGTCTTGGTCTCCACTTGGTCTCAGCCCCTTAAAGTCTTGGTCTTGTCTCGATAAACTCTGGTCTTGGTCTTGACTCGGTCTCGGTTTGTACAACACTAGAGTGAACACACAAACAAGAATTAAAAGAAGACAACGACAGGAGGGACAGGTCAACTTCAAAGAAAAATAGGAAATATGAAACACCAACACCCCCAGAAACACGACAAAAGGGACATCAGTCGCTCTCTGACACCTTTCCTCAGTCCTTTGATTCCCTCCTTCCTTCTTTACTTTATTTATGATCTTGACTAAATCCCTCTTGTGTAGTCCTTGCATTTGAAAGAGGAATAAAAAATGTATTTGTGTGAGAAGTAAGACTCTCGTTCTGAATGAGGCAACAAAATCACCCCACGGGGTACAGTATTATGTGTAAATTAATTTACTTACTGTATGTTGAAGCAGGCTAATGAGGAAATACTTCTCTGAGCAGTTGGATTCCAGCCAGTGAGTAAAACCCGTTCATTCCCATTCATGTTCAGCCAGTGGTTATGATCCCACTGTAAGATATAGGTCAAGATGAGATCAGTGGCTGTGCCCTCGAGATGGAAAGGGATTTAGGACTAACACCGAGTGACGTCATTCAGACTGGATGCTTAATCATTCCAATCCATTTGTACCAGTCTACCATTTTTTCTACCATTACATTTTAAATTCTCGACGGTGGCCAGGACTTTATGTTGGACGGGAGACTCTTCCAGAGCCCAGGGGCAGCAACAGAAAAGGCTGTAGGCTTTAGAGTATTAGTTGAGTGTGCCAGTCGGCTCAGAGATGAGATTTATAGTTTAACATTGACATTTTAGAGGGAGAACCAAAGGTAGTGTGTGAAATATATCTTTACACCCATAAAGTATGAGTACTTAATACTGAGGCAGCAGCTTATCATGCACTCAATCAGTGATACAAAGAAGAGCTGAAAAGCAGTTAAAGTTGAGATTTTTTATGATCCACAAACTCTGAAAGGGAATACCAAAACTAGTATTAGATTCGGAAAGCAGAAGTGTTTTGATGAATGTGAGGTTCAGGACGTTTGGCAGCAGAACAGCAGCAGTGCGCTCTGTGACATTACCACAGATGGATGCCAGATATTTTTAAAATCAGCTTACTCAATGCAGCTGGACGGTGGTTGCCAGCAACAACTGCAGATTCACTTTACATATTCAGTGTGTCTCTGCACAGGATGTCCTCCCTTAAATGTCTGTCTATGGATGTACATGTGTTTCTATACCCCACAGACTTGCTGTGGTTAACTCTCCAGTAGGGTGGACGATTGTAATGGTCTCTTATACTTCGCAACTTGGTTAGGTTTATGAAAACGTTACGGTTTGGGTTAAAATAAAAATGTTACTTACGTCACCTCGCTAACTGTTACTGGCGTAATTTACGCAACCTACGTAACAATATAAAACATTCAATGTTGATTTATTGTTTCACACAGGAAACGATCACTGGTCTCCTGAAAAGTCCAGTTTCTGGCCCAGCCACCCACCAGAAGCACCTCCTTACTCAAACCTGTCTGTAAAATATCTGACGCCTACTTTTAGCGTTCAAAAGTGATGCTACAGGGCTTCAATCAGTGTGTTAAACTATGACGTTAAGGGTCTACCCAGTGCGTAACACAGTGACTCCAAGGGGTCCTGACTATGAGTCCATATGTGACGACTTGGGAGTGAGAATAGGTTGAAGACTGGAACATTTGGGACAGGGTCTATACTTCTAGAAACCTTAATAATGGTTATAAACTGTACAGTTGTAGTGATGTACAGTTCATTTGTTCCTCTTTGTGTTGCAGTTTCTATGCAGACTTTGGGCCCCTCAACCTGGCCATGCTGTACAGATACTGCTGCAAACTCAACAAGAAGCTCAAGGTAACAGAGACACCGCTCTGCACCTCACATCGATGACAGTACTCTGTTATAGAGATTTAAGGTGGAAGAGTTTACCACTTTCATACGCTGACATAAAGCTCTGAGCTGCTGTGTTGTTCCCCCTTTTTGTCACTTCAGTCCTTCACCATGTCTAGAAAGAAACTGGTCCACTACACCAGTTATGACCAGAAGAAGAAAGCCAATGCTGCCGTTCTCATCGGTGCCTACACTGTAAATATTTCTTTATTTGTCCATCTCTTCATCCTCCTATCTGTCTGTCCATCTGTCCATTATTTATAATACAGTAAAACATCTTCCCTATAGGTAATCTATTTGAAAAGAAGCCCAGAAGAAGCCTACAGGACTCTGATCTCAGGAAACAACACAGGCTACCTGCCGTTCAGGTACTAAACAAAGTTTTACTGCATTTATTTATCATTTAAAGCAATAGTTTTTTTTTGGCAAACATGCCTTTTTACTTTCTTGCCCAAAGTTAAATGACAAAATTTACTCCACTTTCATTTCTGTCCGCTAACTGAAGTTACAACCTGCAGCCAATTTCAGTATCTTAGCATAAAGACTGTGAAACTTCACATTTTGGGGTTTAGATTTGGTTATTTTTTTCCCAACACAACCTCTAGGTGAACCAGATCACTATCAGTGTTACAGTAAAGGGGTGAAAATGGTGCAGCAGAGGCTGAGACCAAACCCATGTTTTGAGCCTCCCATCCTGTTAAACACCCCTGCCTTAAGTTTGTCCTGAAAAAGGACAATATAGGTTGTTATTATTATAAGCCATATTTACATTTTTTGTGGCAGCGACCTCTAGTGACTGTACAATGGAAGAAGGAAGTCGGGTGACCTATTTTAAATGGACTGAAAGTCCGCGTAAATCCGGGCTGTTTCTCAATACAGACAAAGATCGGACTTGGCAAGTTCGGCTCGGGAGTACAAACTTCCAGGAACGGGAGCACGCAGTCCGTCATTCAGCAATTGGAACAGCAGCGGACTTGATGGCGGCCGGACCCGTTAGCAGGCGGGATCTCACATTTTCGAAAATGTTGTAGCGATTTTTTTAATCAGCTCTGTCTTGAGAAATCAACCACATATTTGTAGTTTAAACAACTATATTCCCGCATAAAAAACTCTTAAAACTATTATATTTGACACAAGAACAGCAATATTATAACTTACAGTTCTGAGTCTTCTCGTTCGTTCATTCTGGGATGAGGAAATACTTTTTTGAGCAGAAGTCCACACAAGTCACCACCGATGCAGGCTCGGTAAAACGGGCGGAGCGAGAACACATCCAGGTATTTGACTGTACTTGGCTAGATGTGGACTTTTGAATTGGAAGTCCACAAGAACACAAGTACAGACAAGAACGCAGACTGAGAAACAGCCCCGGACTTTCACTCAGGAGAACGGCGTTCGAGTCCCACGTGAAACCATCAATAATATTTCCTCACTTGACTTTTGTAATTTACTTACTTTAACCCAAATCACAACATTTCCCTAAACCTAACCAAGTAGTTTTTGTTGCCTAAACGTTTTCATTTTAGAGAACAAGAAATGCATTAACACTATATACACAAAAAATGTCCATGTCAGGGGTACGAGAACAAAACAGAGAAAAAGATTAACACAGAAAGAAAGAGGAGGATGTAAGAACTTAAAAGAGTAAAGTAGATTTAAATATTCAGGGGGAAATAGGACAATGCTGTAGCTCCATAAACCTGAAAACACACTGAAGAGCTACGAAATAACATAAAAATAAAAGCATTACTCACCTTTTATATTCCACTCGTGAAATATCACCTTTTTTTAAACCAGTTGGCTTAGTGACAACCTCTGATACGAGTGCTATATGTAAGCATAATGAACTTAATAATGAAATATTTAAGAACAGTATTTTCATGTCACATATGCAGCTTTAACCGTATTTAACCTTATGTTGCAGTTACTGCAAAACACACATGCTGCATTTCTTTACACTGTACAACCAGGAAAACTTTTACCAGGATAATTGCCCTTTAAGAATAATAGAATTGCCTTCCATCTTGCTAGCTTAAACACACTAGCACAAAACTACAAAATGATGAAAAAGCACCACCATGTGACTAAACATTAAACAGCACATGAAACCAAATTATAACAAACCTTGTGCCCTTATCAGCTGGGTGCTAAACAAACAAAAATATTGATTTGCCGTTCACGTTTCTTCTCATTAAGCGGACGCCTTCAAAATAAAAGCCCTGGCATTAAATTCTAAAATAGTGGGCCAAATAATGACCTCACTTCAGAAGAAAACGTATGATATGAAAAAGCATATAAAACAACTAGTATATGAAAGATGCTGGGCATTAATAAAGGTAATTTACAATCAGACCGTAAGAAATTGATCAAACACATAATTAGTCTTAATCGCCTTCTTATTCATAATGTCTTTGATCGGGGTGCTATATTGACAAAATTCTTGGCAAAGAAGTCCGTCATTTCTTCTTGTGAACTGGGAATATTTCCAATAATAAAACTAACTGCACAAAAAACTTTACTTACTTACTTTCAAAACATCCAAGATTGTCTTTACCCTGATGTTTAATTGTTTGGCCAGTTTTCCTTCTTATATAAAGTTGAATATTCAACCTAAATATTCTACTATACATACATAGAAAAAACAAATGACATTAATTGACATGAATGTTTCTTCTTGTAGTTCACAGAAAGTACTCGATATTAAATCTAAATCTACCTAATGTCTTTTTTACTGGACATTTTCGGTTTTATGATTTTAGAAAAAAAACTCTTTATTGTTTAGACTAAATTTGTCTCCTAAAAACCAATTTTTCTGACTGTTAATTTCCATAAAGTGAAACCCAGAGAGCTACAGCTTGTTTGTGATTCCTGATGTATTTATTCAAATATTTATTTTTAGTTATGTCAACTTCTCCAGGGTATATAATACCATTAAGTGGTTTGATTGTTGAGACTTGGACTGCTGAACCTCTAAGAGGTTTGTTGCCTAAACCTAACCAGACTGTGACTGTTTCACAACGCTAACCACATGTTTAAAGTCATGTGACACGTGATAACAAATCGTTTTGGGATGCATGAACAAACGCCGCCTGTCGGGCCGCTAATTTAGGAAACACTCACGTGGGTCTTGTTGGGAGGCATGGATAAGCGACCTTTGTTGAAGGACTTGCTGCATGTCTTCCAAACTCCGATCCACCTGGGACTTGTCAAAGCTCCTCCAGAGCCACAAAAGACATTTTAGAAAGTCTCCTCATGACTAGTAAACTGACCTCGGTGTGTTTGTCCCGCAGGGATGCAGCAGTTGGAGAGTGCTCCTTCAGCCTCACTGTCCTCGACTGCTTACAAGGAATACGCAAGGTAAACAACAAGCACCAAAATAAACTACAATGGATCACTTAAATTAGTAAATTAGCTTGTCACTTAGTTCACCCCTCATACACTCAGACTAGCAGAGATTAGTTGAGGGGAGGTCAGCTAGAGTTTATCCAGCAGTCATCAATCTGAGGCTTTGCTGTTAATATGATTTATTCCTTAAAACACATTAGTCACTATTTAAAGGCTAGTACTTATTAATAGTCACTAGTTACTATTCACATTTTACCAGTAACGTTTGATTCATTACTAGTACTCCATTTTTAGCTACTTGTAACTAATTGTACATTTTTTCCATTATCTAATCTTGTACTATTATCTAAATAATTTATACATGTAAAATGGAAATAGTTACTGATAGCTATGCGAAAAGTTACTAGTAACTAATGGATATGTGATAGCTTAACTGCAGAGCCCCGTAGATTTCAATGGCAAAAATGTAACTAAATTTAAAATTAAGTACTAGTAACTAATCTAATTATTGATTTGATATTATATATTATATGATATTGATATTATAGATTTTTGATGTAATGGACTGTCCTCTCTCTCTCTCTCTTTCAGGCATTACAACACGGTTTCTTTGACTTTGAAAATTTCCATGTTGAGGAATATGAACATTATGAGGTGAGGGCACTCGGACACTAATAACCATCCTCGTGCTCAATCATGCAGTTTCACTTGGTTTACTGTTGAAAGACACAATTAAGGACGATTATAAAATAAACTTACAGAGCAAATTTTAAATATCCAAGTCACTGTTAGAATAACAGACTAAAGAATTATGTGGAAGAGAAGGAGCAGTGAATGTGTTCAGACGGTGTCATTTTAATAGAGGTCTGCAGAAAAGCACTTTGTTTTGCTTGGGTCTAACAGGACGGACGCAGCCGACCTGCTGTGGGACTGCACAGAAATATTGCCTCACACACTCATACTTGAGCAATTTACTAGTTTTCTTTCATAAAGCTGGAAACATTTTTAAAAAATTGAAGCAACAGAGGCCAAAATATCCCAGAACATTGGATCATACATTTCCTGTGCAGCAACTAATAGCATCACTTAGTTTCAAACATTTGTAGAATAAAACCAAAGTGGAGATAAGCCAACAAGTTCTGGGTCCCAACTCGTCAAGACCCCTTGGCGTCGTTTTTCAGCGTCTAGGGCTCCGCGGTCAAGTTAACAACAATAAAAATGCAACGTCCAGTTAGCACATTGATAAGACTCAAATGGATTTTTGGGGTTTTATCGTGAAAATATCCCAAATGGCCAGACATTTACAGAACAGTTGATCAAAACATTGTTTTTTCATGGAAGGACCCCACATATTTACAGAAAACATGGCAAATAAAATGAGAAAAGATTTTTAAAACAAGCTCTGTAAACATCTATAAGAGCTAGGAAACAATGTGTTAAACAAGCTTTCAAATGATATATGAGTCAATATGAACAGCTAAATTCTAAAAATAGACCAATAATAATGTTTAAATATATTATTCATGATTGTTTTGTACATTTTAATAAAGTATGGTAATAAATCTGAAAATTGACAGACTGAAGCAAAATCCTAATTTTGGACTGTGGTGTCTAATAGTGCCACAGGTGTCAAATGTAGGCTCCAAATTGTTGCCAGCATGGTTTTCATTATTAGTAATAATAATAATAATATAATAATATCGAAGTATCATGACAGTTTTACCGTTGTACACATGGTTGGAGTACCTCAGTCATCTCCTTCTTTTCTTTTTAGCGAGTAGAAAACGGGGATATGAACTGGATCATTCCAGGGAAAGTTCTGGCGTTCAGCAGCCCTCACTCTCGCAGTAAGATCGAGAATGGTGAGTCAGATTCCTTCTAAAGCCTTTTCTCTAAATCACTGGGTTTAACATTAATTTCCCAAGAGCCCAGCTCAGCTTTTGTAAGACATATAATTAGAATTCATTCATTAGAAATCAGTATGAGGATGCCATGGGAGGGTTTACTCTTTTCCACATCTTTACCACCACTGAATTATTGGTTGTTGCATTTTAACAGAAATGATGTCTCTTAAAACTACTATATAACCACGATAATCATGATTGTTTTTCCAGGTTATCCTCTCCACGCACCAGAGGCGTATTTTACATACTTTTGCCAAAATGACGTCACAGCTGTGGTCCGTTTAAACAGGAAGTTGTATGATGGCAGGCGGTTTGAGGATGCAGGATTCGAGCACCATGACCTCTTCTTCCTGGATGGGACCACGCCCTCCGACCTCATCGTTAGGCGCTTCCTGCACGTGTGTGAAAGCACTGAAGGAGCCGTGGCTGTGCACTGTAAAGGTAGGAGTGGATGGATTTTCATTTTTCAGCGGAATACACGGAGAGCAGTGTGTTTAAAATCTAGAAACCATTTTTTCATTTGTTTAAAACTTTCTCTCGTAGGGCTGAGTATCGGTACTCGATACCTTTAAGATGTAGACCGAAATAATAATAATAATACATTTTATTCATAGGCACCTTTAAGAACACTCAAGGTCGTCTTACAGGACATAATGAAACAACAGGATAGCAATAAATAAATAAAATGAACAAAAACTAAAATTACAGTGCATAAAATCAGGGTGATGGTTAGTGATGTGCCCTTCCGTATCGAGGCTTGTCGAGTAATCCAGGATGAAGCGCGTATCGAGGCTTGCATTGGTGACGTATGTGGTGACGTTCAAAGCCTCGCGAGCCGGTCGTACCTGATTCAGGAAATGTAAATTTTGTATAGCGCCTTTCTAGTCTTTGCAACCACTCAAAGGGCTTCTACATTCATACACTGGGGCAATTCAGGGTTCAGTATCCTGCCCAAGGACACTTTGACATGCAGCCTGGAGGAGCCGGGGATTGAACCACCAACCTTTCAATTAACAGGCAACGTGCTCTACCTCCTGAGCCACAGCTGAAATGGTTTGTGGGTACGGCGTGCGATTTGAAAGGAGCAGCAAAATGCAATGGACCTTTTGATTAGATTTGTTTTTTTTTTTAAACCTGTCCTGCCCAGCAGCCTGGTATAGAGTAAGATGAGCTGGATACCATATTGTGCCAGACAGATTTTTACTTTAACAAGAGAGTATTAAAATACTCCTTTGTCTGTTTTATTATTTATTTAATTATGTATTGATTTGTCACCGGGTAAGACTAGCGACAGCAAGAAAGTGTTGAGATTTTTTTTTGTTGTTGACATTTTGTGTTTTTTTTAAGAATTAAACTGGGGGCTCTTACCCCATATTACCCTAATAATAATTTTCTAAAGCAGGTAAAATCATCTGCAAAGAAAGAAACCGCCTGAAGCCCTGCAGTGTGGAAAAGTCATTTTAAATAAAAATGAATTAAATGTTGTCTGTATTATCTAATGTCACAAAGCACATTCGCATCATAGCCCTTTCTCTTGTTTCCACTTTCCCTTTTGACCCTGTTTCATAAAGACAGACACCTTATTAATAAGTTTATTATTTATGTATTGGCACCACACACATCATTCATTAAATTATTCAATTCAAAGCTTCACACACCAAAGCCATTGTGCCGTTATAATCACTTTGCCTGTTTTACCTTTATTGTCCACTTGATGGCGCACTAGAGCAAATGAAGCACCATGAAGCTTCGGCCCATTAGTGAACCAACTGGATGGAAAGCTTCAATGCTTCATGAAGCTTGAAGCATGAGGGCTCAGATCAGGGGTGAGATGATACACTTGGGTCACAAGACGTGACGATACACGAGACCCAAGATTTTTAGAACTATTTTTTTCATAGTAATAAGCTCAATGTTTCCCTCCCTGTCCGCCTCAAGCTGATGTGTGGTGAGCGTTCTGGCATCCTACCCCAGGAACACTTCCTGCACTCTGGAGACATTTTCTGCTCCAATTTATGGTGGAAATGTCTTTATTTATATAAATGGAAACAAAATAAAAAATTCAGCTGGCAGGTGACAATTTATAAACTTAAAATATAACTTTTATATTATATATATACTTTATAATGCGGTCATCAGCTGTTTCTTCTATATTTAATAAAATGCATTGCATGTTTTCTTATTGTGCAAATAAACTTTTCTCAAAGCATTTTCATTTGTTATCTGACATTTCTTGTAGCAATCTATTTTTCAGTACATTTTTACAAGTGCTTCAAAAAAGTGATCAACCGTTTCGTGGTGGGGACATTGGGGACAGTGTAAATGACACCTGTGCCTTTAACACTAACGTGTGCGGTCTTTCTTCGCTTCAGCTCGCTTCTTTAGAGTCTTTACTGTAGCTTAGTGTGACTTGTTTAAACAGACTCCTTTCTCGTTTTCTACTTACTGTCATCCTTTTTTGGAGGTTTGCGACTCACCACTAAAGGAAAAAGCACTCGGGGAGATCTTTTAATTCAGTTATTCAAGATTTATTGATCCAAAGTTAGCAAAATGATTCACCGTGGTTTACTTTTAACAAACGGATCAAAAATGAACTTAAATTCCTTTTTCACAACTATTTCACTCTCTTATTCAAATACAAAAAAAGCAGTCATTCTAGTTTGGTCATCCTGGGACAAAGAGAGCTCTGAAATAATCTTCTAATATTTTATCTCAAACAATAAAAAAGAAAAGAAATTGATCACATTGCTTGTCTATAACAACAATAATAATACCAAACAACTGTTATGGCTTCAACCGGTGGCATTTTACACAAGGTTTTGAATAAAGTAGCCCACTGGTTTTGGTACTTTTATTGTATATTTTTATATGTATATTCCCTTAACCTTCTCTCTTTAAATATTTCATCCAATCATAGCTGGCCTGGGCCGTACAGGCACTCTGATTGGCTGCTACCTGATGAAGCACTTCCGGTTCACTGCAGCTGAGGCCATCGCTTGGATCAGAATTTGCCGGCCTGGATCCATCATCGGCCCCCAGCAGAACTTCTTGGAGGAGTGAGTTTCAGGCTCAGCTGTGGCTCCACATTATGAACAACCAGTAGCTTGTTTCCCCCTTTTAGTGAGACGGCTCCGAAGATCATTTGAGAGCATTTAGAGATCAGTAGGGACCAGTGGGCTTGAAAAGTCAGAAAGTTTTGAGAGATGCTTTTTGTGTGTAGGAAGCAGCACAGTTTGTGGGTCCAGGGCGACGTCCATCGCTCCAAGCAGAAACTGGTGCAGCAGAGGCTGAGTCGACGGCAGCATCTACAACAGCAGTGTCACCAGCAGCAGCTCCACAGCCCTGACTGTGAGGCAGAGAAACAGGAAGCCATGTCCCACCTACTCTCCAGCATGGACGACCTGTCAATCAACACCACGCTTTACAAATCATACAGCTTGGATGAGGTGAGGGGCGGGACTTTCTGGTGTCTTTATTATAGCTGCATTAAAAATGAGGATTGCAGTATTTAAAGAGGATAAACAGATAATTGACGTACATTTACAATGTGACCCCAACAATCAATTACTGATAATACCTTCTCTCCGTCCGTGGGTGTAGAATAACTGTAAAGAAGGCAGTCTAACTCAGGGAGACAAACTGAGAGCGCTGAAGGGAAGACGACCACCTAGATCGGCCTCCTCCTCCTCAAGGTACCCGTCGGTTCTAACTTTGGTTTGTGGTAAACATTTGGGTTGTAGTTGGGGTGTATATTATTATTCAGAGATCACTGATCGGAACAGTACAGTACTTAATATAGCAAAGATAGCCTGGAGGTGTCAGGCCTCAGATTCAAACGACACTTTACTTCATGCAAGACTGGTTTACTGAAAATTGGCAAAGTAGCCTCTCATAGCAAATGGCTTTTTGATACTTGGAACAAATGTAATGCTATATGTAGAAAAATGGGGAAAATATATTGTATATGTATTAGTTTGGGCAGTGAGGCTTGACCTTGTGTTGTGCTGGAAAAACGGGTCCAGGAAAGAGGGTGTATTAGTATGACGGCTTATTAGGGCCATTGTAGATATAATACTTTGGGGGTAATAATCCATGGAAAACTCAGAATATCCGAGATTAAAGTTTTTAATCATTCTTAGTCATTAAGAATACAGGACGAGAGTCAGTGCAGACACGAGAACAGGTGGAGATATGAGGGACTGCAACAAAGCATTGTCACATCTTAGTCATTTATAAATGTCCTTCCTCAGTTTTTTATGCTTTCGGTCGGACTACTATTACTAAAGACCCATGGGCATATCTGAGTTTTTAAAAAATATTTGTTACATTTATTTAATTTGATCTTTTGTAAGAGTTTCTTAATGTTTGTTATTCATGTTTTAGTCTGTACAGTGTAAAAAAACCTGATCGATATACACACACACACACACACACACAGGTATTTTGCCTGATTATTCCTCATCTGAGGGCTTCAGGTGTGTACAGATTTTGCTTGATTGACATCTGCCATCTCCTTACCGCACAGTCTTATATATCTTGAACCTTTGAAATGTTTTTTTATATTGTAACTTATACACATTTCATTAGGGATAAAAAGCAGCGAAGCCCTATTATTTCTGTTCTGATTCTTTCTTGCTAAAAGTGTTTGGGCAGCAAAAACTGCTGGACGAAAACTGGCACGTAGGTTTCAAATTCCACCCACTACTCAAGCAAAACAAATGGCCCTCATAGATCTCATGGTGGCACTCTAACAAACAACTTTGCGTTTTTGCAATTATCTTCAAAATGGCTTCGTTTAGAGTCAAACGTCATTATTTTAATCTCTGGATTCATCTGCATCTTTGCTCCAATGATCTTCTGCTCTAAAAATGTCATATTATGTGACTTTTTATCACTTTTTCAAAAACCTATTTTTGTGAACTCGTCCCAGATAGTACAGCAGACAAACATCTTTCAAATGTGGAAAGAAGTACCAGAATTTGACTGAGTGGGTCATTCTTTTGAAAAATCCCATTAGCCACTTAAATTTCCAAATCGCTGACTGTGACAGTATGAGGCATGTTTGTCTTTTTCTAATAATAATATGTTTTATTATTAATTGTTATTATCATATGCAGCCATTTTGCTGCAATTGACCTGACCTTTCTTTTCTCCGTGAGATTGAAGAATTGCTGTGTGACGCTGCGGAGAGCCCCCAGCTGCAGTAGGCCATGGATCATGTGAAATATTCTTCCAGACAGAGGGAACAATCACGAACCGCTCACAGCGTGTTGGTCGTACTAGCGACGACCTGTACCGGAGAGGAAGTGGGGCGGGCCAGGGACAGGAGATTGGAGAGCGACCGGCCCGCTGCGAACGGTCTGTGATCGTTCCCTCTGTCTGGATGAAGTCCGACGCTCCTGATTTTACACACAGATCCATGACGATAGAGAAATATTGAGACTAATGTCAATAATGCATGCTGTCAATATTTTAGAGACCCACAAAATATATTTTTGGGGAGCTGATGTCTTATTAAGAGGAGCTAAGCTCCCCCTGGCGCCCCCGTAGTTTGCACCCTGCTCTAAGTTTAAATGGAGCATCATCTTCACATGAGCAGCTACACAGGGCATGACCAAAACTGTAGCATTTGCAGCTGACCACACTCGGGCAGCAGTGCCAATTCATAGTCATGTGTCTATCAGAGATGGGCACTCGAGTTTGAGACTCGGACTGAAGTCGCACTTAAGTCACACACACACAGTGACTTGACTCGGACTCGGCTGTGTACACGCACAGTTAAATAACGTTGGCTGCAAACTGGTTACAGGTTTATTGTTGACCATGTAGCGTTTTATTTAGTTACCGTTACACTGGGTTTGAGAGTCTGGTGGTGGGTGTTGACTTTATTTGTTGCAGTGCACATACATGGTTGTGCTCAGTAAGTGAAAAGAGGTTACAGTCACAGAATTCCTTATAGCTGTGCAGTGGTCTAAGCAGCCTGGATGCAACAGCAGGAGTTGCAACACTACACATTATAACCACCAGGACTTGAGACTTGACTAGGAGTCTAGATCAGAGACTTGTGAGCATCTCTGGAGTCTGTCCACTGCCACGCAGATCACCTTTCCCTAGTCGGCAAGACTTTGTCCTTCTGGATAACCAAGTGTTGATTGTTCCCATATGCATCCTGCCTGGTAGGCAGCATCTTGCCCAAGGAAAGTTTCATAGTTAGACTTGGTCTCAACAGTGTAGATTACAAGAATCAGTCTCTATATTTTTCAGAATATGCTGAATCAGTTAACATCTATATCTCCACAAGTCTTTTTTCAAATACTACCAAAATCAACACAGACATTCTCTAGATTGCCAATATCAAGGTGTGTCAAAGGGTTTTCAGATCGGTTAAACGGTGAGTCTGCAGTGATATTTAGTATCTTGCTGTAACTTGTACAGGATGCACAACATTTTCTTTTTTGCACAGTTTTGGATCAAATGCCACCAAAATAATAGACAACACACTCAAAACCAGCAGAATGATGTGTGATTTTATTCAGACATTTCTCACCAACATCTTGACTGTTGTAAGCATTTTAAGTTTAAACTGACAAAACTATCCGGCTCTGGCACATGTGACGTCGCTACCTCAACTTGTGAGAAGGTGTGTGGAAAAAGCCTCTCACCAGTAGCTCAGTCAGTGAGTCACCTGCTCTGGAGATCTGAAGTTCCAGGATTCAAACCTCCAGGTGACCGAGTCAGACTTGCTGACAATGGGATTGTTCAGATCATATTGAGTCTAAGTTCTCTATTTTATTTGGATCCCGTGACACTTTATTTTTCTCTGCTAAAAAGTGTTTGTGCAGCTGAAATTTTAAATCATGGAAATACAAAATGTCGCAGGTGGGTTGAACATTTCACCCAGTAGCCTGTACATATAATGACACTCTGACCTCAAAGTGATGCTGTAAAAATCAAGTTTGCGTTTCCCCAAATATCTCAAAGTCCAAATATTTTTCATCACTATAATCTCTCAAGTCGTCCGCGTCTGTTCTTCTCCTCTGAAAATGTCAAATGTTAAAGTTATAGTTGTATTAGTCTGTTAAACACACTGTTCATGTGTCATCATATTTTACAGTATTTCTTCATCCTTAATACATGCTGTCATTCCTGTTAGTTCAAATTTTCCAGTCACATTTTTACATTATACGGTTACTAGTTGCATTATATTTAATGTGTGTACATCTGTTATAATGGGTTGATTCCCTTGTGTATCTTATTCAGGTTGAACCTGTCCAAGGCCTCTCACTGCTCCATTCCCCCGCCTCCTAGGCCCCTTAAGGGCCCCCTGTCCTTCTCCTCCTCTTCCTCCTCTTCTAAGAAGCTGATACGAAGCTCCTCCTCCTCCACCATGCACATCAAGAGGTGAGTGTCCATGTTCTCGTTGCTTTTTAAATGCAGCGCAGTCAGTCGGATAACGACTATGTTAACGGCTAAATCTGCTGTGACAACACCATTATGCAGGCATTAATATTATTTCTGATGTCGTCCTCAAGATTAAATATACAGAGGAGACAGCTTGACTGCATGAATTAAATCCCCTCCCTCGTTCTCCACAGTCCCTTCAGCCTCGGTCTGTTCAGCACCAGGCCTGCTGTCATTCACTGACTTCACAGTTTGGACGTTTCCATTCTGCTCACAAGTCGAGTCGACTGATGATGGAGTGAAAAACAGGACCACCAACATGCTGTGGTTGTCTGGGCCTTAAACATTTTATCAACCTCGACAAAGTAACTGCACTTTAAATGTAGGGATTCATCGCAGAGTCAACTAAAAGTAAAGAAACACCTTCTGATATGAAAATGTTCAAGGACTACACCAGCTTTGAAAGTGAAATGAAAGTTGGCACCAAAACTCATGTCCCTGTCTCTAGTAGAAAATAAGCTCATGGTATGTTCAAAGATAAAACACACACAATTATAGAGAAACAATTTCACAGACAAGTTTAATTAGTAAACCATCGTACCTATATGTACCTATATACAGACTACCTGGTAGTCTGTAAGTACTCCTTTACTTAAGTAAAAGTAGAAATATAACAATGCAATGTTATGCAATGCTTTCAAAAACCTACTTAAGTAAAAGTACAGGAGTATTATCTGCAAAATGTATTTTAAGTCTGTCAGATAACTGTAGTGCAGTAAAAAGTACAGTATTTCCCTTTAAAAAGGGATGAAAGGAAAAGACTCAAGCAACTTACAAGTACCTAAAATTTGTGTGCACTACTTACGTAAATGTACTTTCCAGTGCTGTGAACATCTTTCCCAGTTTACACACGACTTCCTGCAAACCTCAAAACTGAAGTAAAACTTCCACCAAGTAATAAAAAACAATACCAACTTTAGATCATACCATCTCTATACTTTGGATAATTCTGCTGCAACTACGTTTGACTACCATAAAACTTCAATTAATAGCCTGGGCTTTTATTTGCTTAAATCACTGAGCTCTCCCTGCTCATTGTTTCCGTCAAATAAACTGAACGATTAAGTTGTGGAGAATCTACGGATCTACCGATGTGTAGCAAGTCCATACTGACAAAAAACTTTTATATTGCTATGCATAATCTTAGAACTAGGAGCTTACAATTAGCTAAAGCAGGTGACCCGGCACTTTTATACATCCAGAGAACTTCTATAAAAACCAGACTAGGCGTCTAATTGAGACCTGCGTTTACTTGTCAAAATATTTAGCCACAGTTAAAGGGACTAAGTGGGACAAGGCTAATTGGAGTTTTACGGCAATTAACTTATTTTACATTTGAGTATGAAACGTGATTTTGGTGTCAGTCGGATGATGTGATAGTTCAGGTGGCGCACGGACCCAGCTTCATAGTCGTAGTTGTTTAAAAAAGCAAGCACGGTGTTTTACAATCTTACCAGCTCGAGAAAGTCAATAAGTGAGTAATAATCAGAGGAAGGTTTTCTGTTTTCCATCTGAAACGCCCGTTTGAATGTAACACAATGTTTAAAAGAGGAGTGGAAACGAAGCCATATGAATCTCAAATGCACTTTATTATTAGAACTCTAACATATTAAAAACTAATGATTAGTAAATGTTTGTTTTGAATCGAGCAAAGACCACAGAGAATGAACAGTTTATGGAGAGATCAGTAAGTTATCAAACAAACTAAGGCAACAGAAACGTTGGATTACAGGGGTACAAATGAAAATAATAATAACATTTTTGGTAGATATGTTTAGTTTTTTAACCAAAAATGTAACTCATGCAAGTCATTCATGAAGGGAAGTTTTTCTGTTTGTCTGTGTTAAACCATTTTTCTCCTTTCTGAGCAAATGTGTGTATTGAGATTATCTGTTTTATGTTGTTATGTTGTTTGCTGCAACATGAACTCTGTTCACTTTTGAAACTGTGCTGTTACGAAATATGACGTGATAATGATTCAGAGATTGTTATTTTTAAAATGAAGAATAAAGGTTGCTGATGATAAGAAAATGATTCTGGTTACCTTTGCTCATGTATGCATGTTGGTAGAATGAGTGAATGTGGGCCTTTGTTTCATATGACATCCCAGAGGATTTACATGATTACACCTAGTATATTGTTATATTGTGTATGGTTTAGTCATACAAAAGGAAACTTCAGGGGTTAAGGGATTTTAATTTTGCTCAACATACATGCAGAAAATTATGTCAAATGTAATTTGTTAACAAATATGCCCCTGAAAACAAATTTAAAATGTCATAATCATATCTTAACCTTTGCACACATTTATATACACTTCCTACTCATCCTGGAAAACAGCTGATCAATTTTCCAGACATGGAAAAAACTTGGAAAAGGAGAAGAAAAAGTCAAATGTCCAGGAAAATTATGTTGTGGCACACACCCCCACATGTAGCACAGGCTGGATGACATCAGTTCAAGTTATTGAAACTCACAAATACATATTATCATCAAAAAATAAATATTAGTGACACAAGGTTTGGGTTTCAACTCTAGCAATGTTTTCAAATATGTTGGGTATTGTTGAGAAAATTGCATAAGAATGAAGAGCAGTGAAAACAATGAATGGGAGCCCAGCTGTATGTGAATCAAACACCAGCTAAATACTAACTAACAGCACTTTTTGTACCATTAAACTGAGTTTGGGATGAGGACCACAGGGATTTGAGAAAGCTAAAGTTTAAGAGGATGCTGGGATTTGTTTTAGGTTATTATTTATTGGTGTTCAGGCAGCAGTGGTTAAAATATAATTAATTAATTTTAAGGGTTTTCCAAAAGAAACAAAAAAAAATACAATGTCAATCCATAAAAAAAAAATAAAACACAGCAATAAAACAAGGCCAAATCAACTTGTCGTAATTTCTAAGCATTTAAGAAATTATTTCTTAGATAAGTTATAGCCACAGACAGCATGTCTTTAAAATCAGACTTCTGCAGAGAGGAACATTAGGGCGTGATCCCTGTCTGTCTTACCAGTTAGATCGCCACTGAAAAAGTCCTGGAAAATGATCTCTAGGATAGAGTGACTGTCAGTGACTGTTCTTAAGTTCACTGTGCAGCAGTCTGTATTTCTCATATTACCAGTGGATGTTGCTTCAGGTCTGATAGATGTGTAAGTAGGCGACTATTTAACAAGCACTTCTGCGATAACAACTTACTCTGATGCCTTCAACATTAAAGGTTAAAGTACATCAATGTCAAAATGCATCTGTACATATACGTTGTATTTCTTAGTACTGATACATCCCCTGCAGACAGAAACATCTGTCTGTGTTTCCTAAAGCTATCTAGAAGCAGCAGAGCGGATGATGCCTTCCAGAACATCCACCTGAAAGAAAAGATCCAGAGAGAGACTTTGAGTTGTTGGTCATGTGAGCCGACGTCCCATCAGGTACCCGTGGTACTGACCGACTGCGGAAAGAAGCTTCTAAACTGCATCACATGCCCCCCAGCTAATGCACATTAAGTCAGACAGCAGGAGGTCAATAAGGCTTTTATAGCAAGTTCAATAAAAGCTTCTCCAATGCACAAAAACTGTGTCAGAAATATATTGTCCTGACTGAACAGTGACTGGTTGTTTGTGCTGACTAGTTGTTGTTTTTTAGGCTAGGCTACATTTCACGTGATCAGAGAAAGGGTTAATTTACAGCATTGGTCGGCAATAGGCGGGCCCACCAGCAATAATATCTGGCCCGTGGCCATAGCGGCTGGTGCTGATCTCAGTTGTGCTTTAAAATATTATTACTAACATTCAAAGCCCTCGACAATCTGTCTCCTACTTATCTGACTGACCTCATTCAGACCTACACTCCATCTCGTTCCCTGCGGTCTTCCACAACAAGTCTTTTGGCACTACCAACCATCAACCTCAGTACAATGGGTGCTAGAGTCTTCTCCTGTGCTTCACCCAAACTCTGGAACTCTCTCCCACCCACACATCCGTACACTGGACTCTATTACAAAATTCAAAACTGATCTTTTTGAACTACATTACATTTACATTTACTCATTCGGCAGATGCTTTTATCCAAATCGACTTACATTCGAGGAACAACATACAATCATTAACAGAGCATCAACTACAGATCTACAACTGACAATACATACTAGTAAGAGCAGCAATAAATACTAGTAAGAGCTCACAGTACACATCACATCAATGGGGAAGATACCTAAGGAAGGAAGTAAGAGTCAACAAAAAGTGCAATCAATACAAGATCATTGTAGGGGATAGAAGAAGAAGAGCACAGGAAGTGCATGTTAGAGGTGTTATAAGAGGAAGTGTTCTCAGAAGAGATGAGTTTTCAAGAGCTTCTTGAAGTTAGAGAGGGACGCCCCTGCTCTGATGGCGTGTGGTAGCTCGTTCCACCATCGTGGTGTCACAGATGAGAATAGCTGGGACTGGGATTGCTTTGTGTGAAGGGATGGCAGAGCCAGGCGGCGTTCGTTGGAGGAGCGTAGCGGCCGAGAAGGAACGTAAGTTTGTATTATTGAGTTTAGGTAGATGGGTGTAGACCCAGTAGTCACTCTGTATGCAAGCATTAGTGACTTGAATTTGATTCTGGAGGCCACGGAGACCCGGTGGAGGTCACTGAGTAATGGAGTGACATGAGTCCTTTTGGGCTGATCAAAAACCAGACGTGCTGCTGCGTTCTGAACTATTTGTAAGGGTTTCACCGCACAAGCTGGAAGACCTGCTAGGAGGGCATTGCAATAGTTGAGGCAAGATATAACCATGGCCTGTACCAGAAGCTGGGTGGCGTACTGAGTGAAGTAGGGCCTGATTTTCCTTATGTTGTATAGAGCAAAGCAGCATGAGCGAGAGACAGCAGCAACATGGTCTGAAAAGGACAGCTGGTCATCAATCCTGACACCTAAGTTTCTCACCACCTTGGTTGGAGTGATGGTTCAGTCTTAGAGTGGTTTAGTTGAAGGTGGCAATCCTTCATCCATGCAGATATGTCTGATAGACAGTCCGTGATCCGCGCCGAGACGGTGGGATCGCCTGGCGGGAAGGATAGGTAGAGTTGCGTGTCGTCTGCGTAGCAGTGGTAAGAAAAGCTGTGCGAGCGAATGATCGGCCCCAGTCAGGTGGTGTAAATTGAGAAGAGAAGGGGCCCTAGAACTAGCATGCTCACTGTAATAATGTACTACACTGATTCCCGGACTGTTGATGTTTCAAATTTTATTTACCTTTCGTTTTTATATTTTTACTTGCAGCACACTACTACACACTACTTTATGTTGTGTTTAATTGAGAGCTTTAACTTCGAAAAGTTCTGAAGAAAAAAAAAAAAAAATGAGTCTCTGGCTCAAGCCGTCAGTAAACGTGAGATCGGATTCCCCTGAATGAGAAAAGCAGCAAATGAGGATTGAACACACAACCCTCCAAACAGGAGTGCTGTGCACCACCAACTGAGCTAATCAGTAAACTTGGGAATATAAATGATCAATTGACGATGTTCTGGCCCGCCATCTAATGACTTGGGAAAAAAATTGGCCCAATGGCAGAATTATATGCCGACCCCTGATTTACAGTGTTGGGCAAGTTACTCAGAATTTTTTATATATTACTAGTTAGTTATTACTCCTTAAAAAACTAATATTACTTATTCGATCTATGTTAACTTTCAAGGACACCGAGACCATTTTACACGCCTTCATCTCATCACGCCTGGATTATTGCAACAGCCTTTTCACCTGTTTAACCCAAAAATCTATTGATCGACTCCAGACTGTCCAGAACTCAGCTGCCAGGCTTTTAACCAGAAGGAATATGACCACATTACCCTTGTTTTAGCTTCATTACACTGGCTCCCAGTATGTTTTAGAATTGACTTTAAAATTTTATTGATCACTTTTAAAGCTCTTCATGGCCTCTCTTCTTGTTATATCTCTGACCTTTTATGACATTAATTTATGATTTGATTTTATTCTATTTATTTTTATAAATATTTTATATTGACTTTTAACATGTGTTTTAGACTTTTAAGTGTTTTCTTGCTTTTATCACGTGTTTGTTTTTATGTTTTATTGCCTTTGCACTTGTCAAAGCACTTTGTAACTTGTTTTTGAATAGTGCTCTATAAATAAAGATTATTATTATTATTATTATTATTATTAATGGGTGGTAAAAGTTAGGTTACTCGTCATGTTACCATACAGTGGTTGTTACGTTATAGCCACTCTCTCCCGACGAGTCCAAGCTGCCGGATCGTCTTCTGTAAGTTTCACGTTGCTGTGCTGCTTCAGGTAACGTCACACTATGTCAGCGCCACTTGGACAAACTACATTGTGTCCCATATAAAGATGTAGGCATCAGAGCTGCTTGAGGTCTCTATTTATTAATACATATTTTTGCTTTATTTCACATTTGTTTTGTCGATTTTAATTCACTGAATCGTGGCCTTTCTGCTCTCAGGGTTTTTACCAGCTGACGGTCGGGCTGGGGTAAGATGCATATAAAAGGTAATGTGATATTTCACCGTATAAGTTCTCCCAGAGCTGTTAAACAATCTTATTTAACTGTTCTGAGTTCTCCATGGGTGTTCAGAGGTTCCCTAAACACTCAGATGTACAGCCAATCACAATCTGCCACTTTATCACACAAACAAACAGCCAATTATGTTATGTGATGTTACCATGCAGGTGCAGGACTCCGAGCAGATCTGGTACCTGCCGGTTTGTCCCTACAGCTGCCTGGCACTACTAGCATTGGCCTAAACGGTCCTTGCCACCTGCCCCTCAGGCTTACCTGGCTGCTGTCTCCCACACTGAGGTTCTTGAGCCGGTAGACAGTCACTTGTCCATCACTGTCTCCTACCAGGACACAGTCTGTCTGCGTGGCAAAAAGGAGGGACTTCATCTTCACACCAGGGGCAGCCGGCTGCACAAGGACTGGGTCCAAGCTGAAGGAGATAAGTGTTTATGGTGGATTCATCAGAGAAACATAACAGGGTTAAAAAGAGTGAGAGAGACCACAATCCCAGACAGATTCTCCCCTTCGTCTGACTCACATGCTTGAATTAAGGTCCCAGATCTCCAGCTGGCCCTCATTAACGGCTCCGAATACTGTGGCCCGCTTTGGGAACCACTTGACGTCGCACACAGCTCTCTGGTTGGAGGTGAAGCCTAATAGGGGGCTGAGGTGGTCCTGCTTCCACAGCTGGATGGTCCAGTCAGAGGAGCAGCTCAGGAAGACATCGGGACTGTGTGGACACCACGCGATGCGGTTCACAGGGCACTGAGGGGCGAGATGTGAACGTTACTGAGGTTCTCTCTGATTTCTCAACTGAGTAGCAGAACACAGACCCACTGAATAACACTAGAAACACGCGGTCACGGAATTTAATTTCAGCATTAAAATGTCATTTTTAAATAAAACATAATTCTGTTGACTCCTGATGATATTATTTCTAGTAGTAACTGAACACTTTGATTAGTTTTCCAATTATTACAGTTAATTAAAGTTTTGTTTCACCAAACAAACATTAAATTGTGGGTATACTTAAGACCTGATGATGAAAGCTCTCCCTGTCCTTTTTTACATCAGTAAAGCCATTTATTTTTTACATTTTGAAACCTGTATTGTCTACACTGTGATGCAGTCTTCTTCTTTATCTCTTCTCTCGGGGCACTGCTGCGTTATACAGCGTCCTGCTGCCACCAGATGTGGATCTGAGTCAGACTGCTTGAAGTCATTTGCTAAACGTAGGCAGCTTTTCAAGTAAATTTTTTTCACATTGGGTGATTTGACATGCAAACCTAACTACAACTGGTGAGGTAAGATTGTTCTAAAAAATAAGCTTTCATGTATGAACTTAACCTCTAGTCAGCAGAAATATTACGTTCCCCACACTGTGCTTGTTGAGTACATGTCTTTCATCAAAACATTGCTGCACATTGCTGCTATTCAAAGACTTCACATGGTACCCGTTAATTCAAAATGACATCTTTTAAACCTGAATTACATTATGTGTGTGATTCAGGGCTCAGTTCAAACAGGATCAAACATAAGTTCTCTCTCGTCGTTAACTACTGTACATATTTTTTCTGAAATAAGGTCCCATGGGCGGGAAGCGGAAGCGAGTGATATAGGCTCTCTATTGATTGCACAACTCTTACTTCTTCCCCTTGGTATTTACAATAGACTGTATATAAAAAGGTATTTACCCCATTGATGCCATACACACTAATGGCTCTTACTCTTGATTTTCCTAATTATCAATATAATAAATGTTTAATATATCGTCAATAAATATTTGGTTTAATTAATTTGAATCACGGAAAAATTAGCCTTTAATTTTTCTATAAAAATTTTATTTTGTTGACTGAAAAAATATTTACTAATCATATTTGTTGAAAAAGATTTTATTATAATAGTTTTGAATGTTCTACCTAAGATTTGTTAAGTGCTTATCACCATATAGAAAAGTTTAAAAACACAATTAGCCATCTGGTTTCTTCAATTTTCACTCAGGAGCAAAAATCAGCCTTTAAACTTTAAAGAAATAACGATTTGACATATATCGTGATAATTGTCGCTATCGAATGACATGAAATGTTTTTATCGTGGTAACATTTTTGGCCATGTCGCCCTGCCCTATATTCATGTTTTACTTGCTTTAAACCAGAGTTATCAGAAGGACTTGAAGGATCATGATGGACTTACAAAATGTTTCCTGTAAGTGTCCACAAACTGCTGACTGTTGGAACACAAGCACTTGTGGATGAGACCTTCCCATGTGCCCACCAAGTAGATGCTTGAATCCTGGAGGAATAATGCAGAGGAGACGTGTGATCCATGATTACAGTGGAGGAAACAATTCCACAAAATGAACAATCTTAAACTGTTCATTGTACAGAAAAAGGCTGTTTTAAAGCCACAGACTACGTTAGTGATACTTACTGTTGGATGGAAGTCAAAGCACAGACCCGGGATCAGTGCTGACAGAACACTTTCCGTCCTGTTCCCTCCAGCCTTCTTTGCTGTGTTACGAATCTTCTTGAGCTTCATCAGGTCTATGGCAAGAGACGCACAACTGGTTTGAAAACAATATGCCTCATTTGTTTGAATTATTTGTTACAAACAAAGACATCAATTCAACATGAGCACGTTGGGGGGGGCTGTGGCTCAGGAGGTAGAGCGGGTTGCGGCTCCTCCAGGCTGCACGTCGAAGTGTCCTTGGGCAATTACATTCACGTTCTCATAGCATTTTCAAATACTAAATGTGTGAGTTTGATTTTGTCTTGCTTTTGCAGTTCAAACATGACAAAAATGGTAAAAATAAATAAATCAAATCAGAATTAAATCAGACAGAATTTCTCGTTGGTCAATTGGTGCAGGTCACTCAACCTTAGGAACAAAAATAGATTGCAAAGCATCATCAAAGTGTGCCGGAAAACTGCAGGCACAAGTTTGAAGAAGGCCCGTTCAATTCTGGCTGATTCTAGCCATTCTCTGTTTGAGAAGTTTAGGTTGCTTCCTCCGGGCCGTAGATGCAGAACGCCAACATGCAGGACAAACACATTTAGGAATTCGTTTGTCCCAGCTGCCATTGGGGTTTCAAATGATTCACTGAAATTCCATTCAATTGTTTTATTGCTTTTACTTTAACTGTGGTCTTTTTAACGTAGTGCATTTCTTTTGCCTATTTTGATATTGCTTGTTTGTGAGTCATAGTTGATAGTTTTGTGTTGACAGCTGTCTGTACAACAAATTGCCCCTCGGGGACAATAAAGAGTTCCTTGATCCTTGAATTGCTGTTGACTACATGTTGTTTCCCTGTCCTTTAAACAGTTCACAGGGCTTTTAAATGAACTGTTATAGAGAACTTTTTCTTTCCACAAACTTTGTTAATGGGGTGCATTGCAGTTCTGATTACTTCTGAATGTATCTATGCTCTTACAGTCTTTTTAACTATGCATGTTGAGCTGAAGTAAAACAGTAAAACCACCACTTGTTGCTGAGTACTGTACCTATACAGTCGAGTCCATTGTTGCAGACAAACCACTTGCTGATCCTGCCATCTGCAGCCACAGAAAAGAGAGCTTCTACATTCTCCTCTCCTGTTAAACTCAACGCTTGTTGGATCCACCTGAGCTGCCACACTGGACCCAAGTGCTTGTTGGGGCTTTCACTGCACACACAAAGCAGTAAAGAGCAAGAACGTGAGCAGTAACAGTAACTGTTATTTGTGTGTGATGTAAGTAAGAGTCCTCACCTGCTGCTGACGACACAGGATCGGTTGTCTCGACTCTGCACACTGTACATAGCGATGCTGCCATCTTGCATCCCCACAGCCAGCTGACTCGGGTTGTTGGATGAGAAATCCAGGGAAGTGACGGCGCTGTCACAGTGGATGATACGCTCAGGCCACTGCAGAAGGGACACATGACAACATCTGGGATGGTCACATGGCTCGCCCACATTAACTAAATCCTAAGCATAATCGAGTAGCGTCAGTCTATAATAAACTTATGACTTGTGATATTAAACCACTCCCAGTAATAAGAAGTTGGGAAAAAGATTTTCTTCATTTTGATTGGAATTGGCCGAAGGTTTGGAACACAATCTTTTCTAAAAACCTTGCTCATCAGATAATTCACTACAAATTTGTTCATAGATTATTTTTCACGCCAGAACGCTGATTTAAAATTGATTACTAGTGACCTATGTATCAAATGTTCTGGCTCAGTCAGAGGAGATTATTGACATATGTTCTGGGCCTACCATCAACACCTTTTAGGAACATATCAATACAACAGTTGGAATTAACATTGCTAAGGTCTTCCCCTGCTGTCCTGCTCTTTTTGGGTACAACCCAAACTTTTTGGTATCTTTCCAGGAGAAACACTGCCTCTACAGCTGCTTGAAATGTTGAAATGTTAACTGCCAATGAGGCTGAAGTTGATACTGTGAGCAGTTGGTTTAAAGCAACAGATGAAATACAGGCGAATATGCAAACCTAATCTTCAGCCTTGCTTTTTTTCTTTACATCTGCATAAATAACACTTTCTATTTAGTACTGTGGGCCATAACAGGTAATATAGGTATTTGTATCTGTAAGTTTGCCTGTGTGTATTTGTAATTAGGAAGTTTGGATCATAATCTCTGCCTTCATGGTTCTTTTTTTAAATTTTAGTAGAGTAAAATGTGGAGTAACGATTACATTTTTAGGTTTGGTCCAGGATATCCTGCGCATTAGTATGGACTCACAATACTCTTTAATCATTTGGAGGACTCCTGAGCAGATATTTAAGATCAAATAAAACAACCCTGTGGTGTTCATTATTTATTTATGTATGTATGTAGCCTATGTATTAATTTCCTTTGTCCCTGAATGGATATTAATATGTGCCTGGTGATTTACAATAATGTTTTGTTTCTTGTCAAATATTTGATCACAAAAAAGCATCTGAGGATTAAGCTTGGGAAGGTAAATAAATGTTAAAACAAAGTCATACCGTGGGGTTTTTGAGAGACCAGCAGCACACCAGACCTGGTTTCTGGTTATTTAAGTCGAACTCACCATAGCCCACGGCCAGGAGGTCCTAGCAAAGCAGAGCACAAACAGGTATGCCTTGGTGAAGTAACACACATTTGACTTAATCACATATGTTACCATCAACGGATGAACAATTAATCAAAATCTTATCAAATCGCAATAAAGCCTACTGCAATTTTCAATATTTGTTAAAGGCAATATGTGTGTCAAAATAGCATTTATTTTTATAAATTAAATATTTTTGTCACATCATATAATACAGACTTAAGAAAACATCTTTCTTTGGTACAAATGACTCAATATTGATTTAAATATGTTTTTCAATTAAAATGAGTGAATAATTATGTAAAAATTATCAGTTAAAATAATCGCAATTAAGTATGTTTACAAAATCGTTCAGGCCCTATTCTTCATCTATTCATAACTTTTTCATTTTGATTGCCCGTGCTGATATTTTATTATGTTGGTCTATTCTGAACACACGACATCCATTGCATGAATGTCTGTCCTGGGAAAGGGGACCCCTCCTCGGCTGCTTTCCCTGGGTTCAAAAGTGTCGTAACTTTTCAACAACTGTTGGGATGCCTGTTGATTTAAGATATGAAGTAACATTTCTCTTCTTCATGACTGCAGGTGATGTTTGTTTAGCAAGCAGGGAATCCTCGTCTGATCCCACAGCATACTTTAATTTCCCCTTCGCGGGGTTTGTTAAATTTCCCATAAAAAAATGGTCTCCTAATAATTTTACAAACCACATGCTGCATAACGTTACTTTACATTACAGTGTGGCTCCAAACATATATGAAGTCATTAGCAGGGCCACGCCTCAACCACACCTCTTATCACTTACGTATCCTGTCCACCCTCACTCTCCCTTCCTCTGCCCAGCACTACTTTCTCTTCCCCCTTCTGCTCCACACTGAATCTCTTCCCCTCTAAGCCATCCTAGACCGGCCTAAACAGACAACTTCCTCTCCCACGTTCTTCCTCATCCATTCACCCTTCCTCCGCATCCTATGCTACAGGTGTGTCTGTGTTACCGGGTTCTTCTTGTTCCAGACCATGCTGCTGATGCTGCGTCCTCTGCTGAGCTCACAGCTGAAAGCCCAGAGACACTCCAGGGCTGGCGATCGAGGTCTCTCTGTCTCCCTCTGCTCCAGCACTGGACTGTCTGGATCTGACACAGTTATTACATTTATACTGACTGTTTCATTTATTTATCCATTAGTGTGCATTAACTCTCTGAGCTCACCCGTGACCGTCTTGAGGCCAAAGTGAACAAAATGCAGCCCATGTGATAATGAGCTGAGTTTACCTTCCAGCGTGGGCAGCTCTCTGAAAGCAGCCAGCTTGGGTTGGAAGGTGTTTCCCACTACGCTCCTCTCCATTACTAGTAAAGAATGTTGGAATTTCTCCGACAGCATGATCAGCGGCAGGTTTGACTCAGAGCTTAAACTGTTCCCAAACGCTTCCACTTCTTTCAGTGAGCTAGCAGCACTGGCTGAATAGAGAAACAGAGAAGAGGAAATTTGTATGCAAGTTATTGCAAAACAATCCTGAATTAAGAATAAAACAATTTTTAATCAGTGAGAAGTCAGATTACTTCAGTCAGCCAGTGGTCTCTTCATTTTCTCTGCACAGTATCTATGAAGTCGTGTTCATTTATCCACCACCCACAAACATTAGAGTATTATTGGCTTTTTAAAGTGTAATTACACTCAATAAAACCCGGACTAAAGCTGATTATCCCCCCAGTGTCCTTCATTGTTACCTGTACTGGCTGTGCTGCCCACTGACACGCTCCTCTCTGCACCTCTGCCGGTGTCCACACCAGCCTCCGGATGCTCAGGCCTCTCTGGTTCGGGGCCGCACTCTGTGTGGTCCTGCTCAGGGCTGATCAAAGTGTTATACATGTCCCAGGTGGTCACAGTCGTGGCTGTGGACATGGAAACATTTGAAAAAGACCAGCCACTTTCAAAAGCTGAACACCATTTATGTAACTAGCCAAGCGGCCAAAAGAAAATTCAGTAACTGCGGCTTTATTAGGATCGTAACCTGAGTCCGCCGTGACTATGCTGTCGCTCTGGACCTGCTTGTTTTTAGATGCTCCATTCAATGTCTGCGTTGATCGATCCACGTACTTATCATTGCCCATTCGGTTCCTGTAAATCTCAGCATACCGGTTGTTTCTCTCTCTGTGAAAACAAGGTGAGGGTGACACCAGCTTGTTAAAACCAAAGATATAGATTTTATCCACAGTCACTAGGGCTTGGGGAAAAAAAAATCAATACAGCATAGTATCTCTATACTTTCCGTGGCAATACTGTATTGATACACGGACGTCAAGTATTGATCTTTTATTATAAAAATTGCACGTGAGAATTTAACTTTTTGGCACTAGAACAATACAATCTACTGCTTTTTCAGCCCACTAGAAAACTCAACAGCACCATCTAACAGACTAAACAAGTGAGATGAACAAAAAGAGAAATGTATCTTTTTAGATAAAACAGATGTTGACAAAGTTGGGGTCATGATTTGAAGTTGGACCGGTCCAGTAGACATTTCAATCTCTGTCTGTTTTTGCAGATCAGAAGGATTAATGGTGCGTTCGCATTTTTCTCGGATGGTCCCATTTCCCGAGTTATGAAGTCGTTGTTCCAACTTTGGTGTGTCCGTGTGCTTTTAAGTCGTAATGTGGAAACAACATGGACGGTGTTACAAAGATGTGTTGGACAGTCATTGTCATCCAAGTGTGCTGAAACAGTTTTCTATTACAAGGTGATTTTTGTCCCAGAATTGTTACTGCACCAGTACTGAACAGTCCTGAAACTACTCAAATATAGCTTGTACTGCAAATACTACTAATAAATAACTTCCTAACTAATCTAGCTCACTCTACAAGGACAGCAAACTAACTAACTTCGCACCATTAATTTAAACGTTTCTAACAATTCTGATTATTCAGACACCACATATAGGTGAAGCTTGAAAAATGTGCATATCGTGCAAAAGTTCATTTATTTCAACTTAAAAGGTGAAACTAATATATTATATAGACTCATTACATGCAAAGTGAGATATTTCAAGCCTTTTTTTTATATAATTTTAATGATTATTGCATAGAGCTTATGAAAACCCCAAATTCAAAATCTCAGAAAATTTGAATATTACATGAAATCACTAAAAAAAAAATTTAATAAAAAGGATTTTAAATACAGAAATGTCAGCCCTCTGAAAAGTATAATCATGCATCATGTATATGTACTCAGTACTTGGTTTGGGCCCCTTTTGCATGAATTACTGCCTCAGTGCAGCGTGGCATGGATGCCATCAGCCTGTGGCACAGCTGAGGTGTTATGGAAGACCAGGATGCTTCAACAGCGGCCTTCAGCTCTTCTGCATTGTTCGGTCTCATGTCTTTCATCTTTCTCTTGGCGATGCCCCATAGATTCTCTATGGGGTTCAGGTCAGGCCAGTTTGCTAGCCAATCAAGCGCAGTAATCCCATGGTCATTGAACCAGGTTTTGATACTTTTGGCAGTGTGGGCAGGTGCCAAGTCCTGCTGGAAAATGAAGTCAGCATCTCCATAAAGCTCGTCTGCTGAAGGAAGCATAAAGTGCTCTAAAATGTCCTGGTGGACGGCTGCGCTGACTCTGGACTTAATAAAGCACAGTGGACCAACACCAGCAGATGACATGGCTCCCCAAACCAACACAGACTGTGGAAACTTCACACTGGACTTCAAGCATCTTGGATTGTGCCTCTCCATTCTTCCTCCAGACTCTGGGACCTTGGTTTCCTTGTGAAGCTCCCCCACACATTTGAAAGGCCTTTTCCTGACAATCCTCTCCAGGCTACGGTCATCCCTGCTGCTTGTGCACCTTTTTCTTCCACACTTTTCCCTTCCACTTAACTTTCTACTAATGTGCCTTGATACAGCACTTTGAGAACATCCAACTTCTTTTGTAATTAATTTTTGAGGCTTTCCCTCCTTGTGGAGGGTGTCAATGATGGTTTTCTGCACAGCTGTCAGGTCAGCAGTCTTCCCCTTGATTGTGAATTCCACTGAACCAGACTGAGAGACCAATTAAAGGCTCAGGAACCCTTTGCAGGTGTTTTGGATTAATTAGTTGATTAGAGTGGGACACTTTGAGCCTACAATACTGAACCTTTTCACAATATTCTAATTTTCTGAGATTTTGAATTTGAGGTTTTCATATGCTGTACGCAATAATCATCAAACTTATATCAAATAAAGGCTTGAAATATCTCACTTTGCGTGTAATGAGTCTATATAATATATTAGTTTCACCTTTTAAGTAGAATTACTGAAATAAATTAACTTTTGCACAATATGCAAATTTTTCGAGTTTCACCTGTAAACGCACAGTGTGAGTGGTCTGAGTAGAGGACCTCACTCACACGATAGCTTCTGCGTCATCAGCATCCACTGACACAGAGGTGCTGGGTAAATCCAGCAGTGAGATGCTGTCTGTCTCAGACACGTAGACGTCTATGACCTCTTTCAGCATGTCCTCCGTCACGTGTTCTTTCACAGTGCCTCCTTTCCTCTGCACGTCTGGCAGGAAACAAAAATACATTTTTACAAAATATTATTATATACACAAGATACGTTAGAGCTGCTACAGAGAACTGACATTCAATCACAATAAAATGCTGTAGGTGTAACTGTACTTTGCTGCATTTAATTTAAATTAACTTGTCGTGTGTAGATGGAGCTCAGACAATGAATTAAAAGTAATAAACAATAGAACAAAACTTATATATGTATGGAAACCTGAAAAGTTGATGGGCATGTCCCGTTTGGAAAATGTATCCTCAATCTCCTCATTCACTGATTCTATTGTAGACTGGCTGGAAATTCTGCTGCTTCCTAATATTGACCTGCAAAACCATGTCAACAGTCCATTTTTAGAAGGTGAAACTGTGTGGCACCTGCACAAAAAGCGATGTCAAACACTGTTATTATACATGACACAACGTCTTAGTGCTTTCTAAGACATGTGGCTACAAATCACATTTTATGTGCATAAAAGGTTAAATGACTATTTTCTTGCCCCACATCATTTCTATTATAAATAAATCATTCAGTCCTCTATGTATAGGTGATTTAGTTAAATTGCATTTAACAAAGTGGCCTGAACAATCATATATTATTATTATTATTATTATTATACAGTTTTCCTGAAGTCAACTAATGCCATGTCAGATCAGCTCCAGCTGTTTGCCAGCCCTGGTACCTGGAGAAAGGCATAGCGAAGCTCCCGGTGACTGTTATCTGGTCTGATGCTGATCCAGCAGAGATTTCATCCAGAAAGAACCTGCAGTTGGCTTTGTTCTGCACAGCTGTTGGATCTGCCCGGTACAGCGGCTGAGGAGTGACGTCATTGTCTTCTTCATCAAACACCTGCAGACAGGGGAACAATGAGCCGCCTCGCTACAATATCACTGAAGGAAGAAGGCAGATTATTCATTGATTTGATTATTTTTGATTTAATAGATATTAAAATATCTCAAGATATGAGTGAGTCCTATTTCAATAACTTGGACTAACTAATGTGACTGAGAGGAAATTAGTTTTGCTTTAATAATGTAAGGACTATTCTGATCCACGCTCCAAACCAAGTGATGCCGGTAGATAGAAGAAATGGTCCTGGTGTATTTCAATGTATATTACAGTATTTTTTTTTCCAATTGCTAACAAGCATCTGACAATACTGAAGCCACTTTTTCAAAACGCTTCATACAGTCTGCATTACCAATATGCATCTTGGCCAACAGTTAATCTCACCTCCAAAACGTCACTCCAAACCACCAAAACACTTCATACATGTCTCAAAATAAACTCGTTGGACCAAAACACTGTCTCACTCTGAAAGCACACACTGTCACTCATAACACTAAAAACACTAATAACAGGGAGCATTATACATAAATTATGAACTTTTGATTAATATTTCACATAAATCCGTATATAATTATAGAATAAATAATAATATATTTTCACATTAAGGACTAAAGTATATGTAATAAGAATGAATCAGAAATGCAGCAATTTGCTTCAACATCCTTTATTTGTTCTATAACATTGGGCATGATAATTTACTTGATAAGGGGCCCATAGATAATGCTTCTGTACAGGGCCAGATTTATGTGCGATGCCCCTGGACGTAAACATAAATGTTCTGCTAACTTTTCTCTAAATTTCAGTCTGGTTTCTGCAGAAATGCAGGCCATTTGCCAGCATCAAAAACACCCTGTAAATTGATGCTTTAATCCAGACTTTATCGTAAGCCTTACTGAATTTGTAAGGTTTTTATTTGTACTCCTGGAAAATGATAAAAATGTTGTTGTTGCATTGTATGTTTGTGCAGACATTGTTAATAAACAATAAAAAGAATGAGGGGAAAAAAACAAGTTGTGAAGTCGGAAGTTCCGAGCTGTCTGGAACGCAGCATAAGATCCACGGCGTGGGTAGAACCAGAGTAGAACCCGAGTAGAACTCACCCGAACAGCTGGTCTGGGAGTCTGCAGGACGCTCTTCTCCAGAAGTCTGCTGCCACCGCCGAGGCTGAAACTTTTCCTGCTCGGGGAGCAAACTGCGCTGTTTGTGCGTCTCGTGCTTTGGTTGACTCCATGTAAACCGGACACTGAAATGTTTACTGCTCGAGAGGAGCTAAGAGACAGCAAACATAATAAATTAGCACAACAGAATCAGCATGACTCCAGTTTCTTTGACAAAACAAAACATAAATGTGCACTTACGGCCTCAGCACCCGAGCCCGTCTCATCTGTCTTCCCTCGTTTGCCACAGACATTGTTGTTGTTGATGATGGTTTTCTTACTAAGTTGCCATGGCACCGTGACTCCCAGCGCCCCTGCTGGACAGTCCACATTATTAAACCTGTCATGCATGAATTAAAAACTACGCCTGTAAACTTATTTTGTCAACATATTTAATTTTGCACTGCAGACTCTGCAGAGGACACCATGCATCAACGGCATAAAAGTGATTTGATGAAACTCAGTATGAGTCCAAAAAACTATATGTTTTTAATATATTTACTAACTGCAAGTAGTATTATTCAAGTGTATCATAATTTTAAATAAAACACACAAAATAAGTCAGAACATATCGTTAACGTCCTCTGGAGTGAACAGATGGATTCAGTCACAGAACAAAAAGTAAAATAAATATATCATTAAAATCTGGTTTAAAGTATTTCTAACATCTTATTCTGTTGAAAAAATAGTTTTTTTGTACTGTTTTAGTTTGCTGATAAATGATTGTACAGTTATTGCTGAGGTACTTGGAACATCTACTCTTCCCTCCCCTATTTTGGATTTACACTCACCTAAAGGATTATTAGGAACACCATACTAATACTGTGTTTGACCCCCTTTCGCTTCAGAACTGCCTTAATTCTACGTGGCATTGATTCAACAAGGTGCTGAAAGCATTCTTTAGAAATGTTGGCCCATATTGATGGATAGCATCTTGCAGTTGATGGAGATTTGTGGGATGCACATCCAGGGCACGAAGCTCCCGTTCCACCACATCCCACAGATGCTCTATTGGGTTGAGATCTGGTGACTGTGGGGGCCATTTTAGTACAGTGAACTCATTGTCATGTTCAAGAAACCAATTTGAAATGATTGGAGCTTTGTGACATGGTGCATTATCCTGCTGGAAGTAGCCATCAGAGGATGGTACATGGTGGCCATAAAGGGATGGACATGGTCAGAAACAATGCTCAGGTAGGCCGCGGCATTTAAACGATGCCCAATTGGCACTAAGGGGCCTAAAGTGTGCCAAGAAAACATCCCCCACACCATTACACCACCACCACCAGCCTGCACAGTGGTAACAAGGCATGATGGATCCATGTTCTCATTCTGTTTACGCCAAATTCTGACTCTACCATCTGAATGTCTCAACAGAAATCGAGACTCATCAGACCAGGCAACATTTTTCCAGTCTTCAACTGTCCAATTTTGGTGAGCTCTTGCAAATTGTAGCCTCTTTTTTCCTATTTGTAGTGGAGATGAGTGGTACCCGGTGGGGTCTTCTGCTGTTGTAGCCCATCCGCCTCAAGGTTGTGCGTGTTGTGGCTTCACAAATGCTTTGCCGCATACCTCGGTTGTAACGAGCGGTTATTTCAGTCAAAGTTGCTCTTCTATCAGCTTGAATCAGTCGGCCCATTCTCCTCTGACCTCTAGCATCAATGAGGCATTTTCACCCACAGGACTGCCGCATACTGGATGTTTTCCCCTTTTCACACCGTTCTTTGTAAACCCTAGAAATGGTTGTGCGTGAAAATCCCAGTAACTGAGCAGATTGTGAAATACTCAGACCGGCCCGTCTGGCACCAACAACCATGCCACGCTCAAAATTGCTTAAATCACCTTTCTTTCCCACTCTGACATTCAGTTTGGAGTTCAGGAGATTGTCTTGACCAGGACCACACCCCTAAATGCATTGAAGCAACTGCCATGTGATTGGTTGATTAGATAATTGCACTAATGAGAAATTGAACAGGTGTTCCTAATAATCCTTTAGGTGAGTGTATGATGCAGTAAAATCAAATCAAAATGACATAAGATGTAAAAGATAATAATCAATTGTAGATAACGCTTTTGGGATCCGTCACATGGCGGCTGGTACTATGACTTAAACAGCTAAAAATGGCTTCCAAGTATTTGTCCATCTATGAATGAAAGGGTTAATGTTTGTTTTTCATTGAAACATTATGGTTACCAACTTTTACTTGTTACACTTCTAAAAGAAAGAGAGAAATTACTTGTTATATCAGCAACTAGGAGGCAAATCAAAGTGACATTTATATTGTCAGCCTGATCTGATCCAATATTAGGAATCAGTTTTTATGATCATGGCCCCGTGTGTTCACTTTGCTCACTCAGCTGTTGCCGTATCTAGACTGGAGATAAAATGACATTAAAGTGTTTTCCAGCCCGACGGTGTTGGGATCTTTAAAATATAGAAAACTTAAGACATGCAGGAATGAACCTCTCAGGATTGCTCTCTCTCTGTCTCTCAATTTATTTATTCAGTTCGATATGCTTAATTGGCATGAATGTTTAGGTTCAACAATGTTGCCAAAGCAGAAAGTCACAATAATATATATGCTGCTAAACAAATAGAAAAAACAAATAGAAAAAAACAAACTAAAAACCAAACATATCTTATCTGAAATAATTATTTATTAATAATATTGCAGTTATTTTATTATATAATATATTTATCATAAATATCAAATATTTTAAAATGAAATGTATTTAATTCAAGTATAATCTTGAACAATTTATTTTATAATAATAAATGAATACATACATTGTGTGAAATTAACATAAAATTTAATTGTTTTTTTTTAATAATAAATAATTAGTCGCTTTAAGTGAAAAGACGTTGATCTTTCCAAGCTGTACCTGGCAATGGCCACAAAATGTTTAGTTTAGGAGATATTTACTTCCAAAGTGAAGGGTTTTACAGATTTGTGGAGATAATAATGAGATAATGGTCATTTAGCTGACGCAAAGCGACAACTGCTGATATACTTCAGAGGTCGCCCACCTTTGGAGCAACCAGGGTTCAAATGTCTTGCTCAGGGGCACAATTGTGAATGTGTGCTAGTGGGAATCGAACCTGGGTCTCTGATCCATAGGTGTCATTTACTCTGGGTACACCGGGGACATGTCTCTACCACTTTTTGAAATGGCTGATTTTGCATTTCTTACAAATATTCTGAAAAACAGCACCAAGAAATGTTAACTAACAAATGAAAATGCTTTGAGAAAGGTTTATTTGAACAACAAGAAAACATGCAATGCAATTTAGTTTTCCCTCATAAAAAAACAGACATTTCCACTGTAAATTGGAGCAGAAAAGTTCTCCAGAACGCAGGAAATTACGAGTTTAATGCTCAAAATCTTCTGTGGGAGGACCCCCAGACCCCCTCATTTCAGCATCTAAATACTGTTAAAAAATCTTCTTGTCTTGTTCTTGTGCATCGTCATGTCTCATGACCCAAATGTGTCATCATGCTCCTAATCTGGGCCCTTGTGTCCCCACCACTTTTCAACACAAAGTGACGCCCTTGGTCTGATCCGCTGCTCCATCACCAGAGATTTCACGAGTGTGTCACATGACCAGCTAGAGCGCGGTGCAGACGATTTGGCAGACCGGAAAATAAATGTATTAACTGCTCACTGCTGCCCATTCGTGCATCTCCATAAACACATAATAGGCATCAAAATGTAGCCACAAGCCCTTTCTCTCTCAAAATCCCATCTCCCTCAATGGAGTTTAGTTTTTTAGATTTAAACCTTAATTGACAGGTAGCCCATGGTCATGGTCTCGGTCACTCCTGTACAGTCTGCAGACTGAGTCCCCCCTCCCACCCCTGTTTGTTGTCTTGCAGGTGTCTTTGTTTCAGCAAATTGGTGTATTTTTTAGCTTCGTTGTTTCCTGTTGTCACCCTCCCAACCCCCACCCCCCATTCTCTGGCAGGTGCTGTCCTTTCTCTGTGGTGTCTGTTACTGTGAGAGAAAAAAAGATTGGAATACAGGATATATTAGGGAAATGTTTTTCTGGTAAAGCTCTGTTTCTCCTCTTCTGATGACCAGCTCTCTCTTTCTATGGTTCAGAGTTCACTGAGTCTCTCTCTCTCTTTCTCTCTCATATTTCCTTTCTTGGCCCCTTATGGTATGCAGGTAGTTTTACCAGTGGTGGAAGAAGTACTCAATTTTCATACTTAAGTAAAAGTACAGATACCACATGAAAAATGCTATTCAAGTAAAAGTAAAAGTCGTCCAGCTTAAACCTACTCACGTAAAATAATAAAAGTACCTGGTTTTAAAAATACTTAAGTAATCAAAAGAAAAAGTACTACACATTAAAATCTTTTGATCTTACAAAACGCAATCTATCTTTTTAAATTCACTCAAGCCAGGTTTGAATACAGCAGTGTAAGTTACTGTGAATCACAATAAGAAAAACTGATTTGCAAGAGTAAAGTAGATATTTTCTACACTGTGGGGAGGATAAATCTGCGTCATTGCTCCGCTGGTGTGGTTATCCCCTTCAGACTGTCTGACAGACACAGAACACCGTCTGGGACCTTGGGTATGTTAAGATGAGACGTTGAGGCGGAAACCAAAACTGACTGAAACACTTCTCAATTCACAATCTCACCAAAAATCCACACACGTTAACTTCAGCGCCTGTCATAAAGTGCAGCTCACAGTCCCAAACAGAGCAAGGTTAGCTTCAGTTTTCAGATGTTTATGTTGCAAAACCAGCTACGTTACCACTCGGTCACAAACTGGCTGCGACTCATGATGCAAGAACAGAGCTGCTGCACAGTCACACCTGACACCACAATGCTCTCACTACAGTCCTCCCTCTGTTAGAAGCCTGAATAGAAACCTCTTCTAGAAAAGTCCAGTCCTTGTTTGACGTCTGATTGGGGCCTGGGGGCCAATCTGCTGGGTCAATCCATCAGGGTCTGAGCTGCTTGTATCTGATGCTGGCTGTACATCTCTGGCTGTGCTCGTACTGGCTGATGATCCCACATCTACTCTACTGACAAACTTCAGCACAGCCCCTGTACATTATAGATATTTTCTATATATTAATGTTATCAGCTGCATCAGGCCCATTCAAACTGGCTCCTCCAGGTTTCCTTCAATAAACTGCATAAAATACTTTTTATGAAATGACTGGGCTGAATATGTGATGCTTATTATTTACTTCCCAGCTAATCAACATATTAATAGTCGATGTGAATTCACTGTTTCCCATTTTGCATTAGTCCAGAGTTGTAAACTAAACTTCACTGTCTTGTTTAAAAATGATATGAGCAGTGCCATCACATCCTGTCTGGACTGGTCCCACAGATGTTCCTTGCTCGAATGCGTTCGTCGGCTTCATCAGTTTTACATTTGTTTTTCAGTGCTGCTCCACTCAGGTGTGCTGCAGGCGACTAATATGTAACGAGGTCTTGTACAGAACGTAAAAAGTCAGATATTTGGCTTTGAAATGTAGTGAAGTGAAAGTAAAAAGTTGCAACAACTAAAAAGTACAGATAGGCCTCCCGAAAAAACTACTTAAGTACAGTAACGAAGTATTTGTAGGGGAGAGCGGGGTATGTTGTTACACTGTTCACACCATCTAATATTTACTGAGCACCGAACATCACAATGGTACAAATGTCATACCAAATGAAAGAATGAAGTCTTGGGGCAGAATTTGGATAATAAATAATTTAATTCAAAACAAAAATGTTGGCAGAGCTCACATTAAGTGGGACAACCTCTTTCTTTGAACTTTAAAATCAAACATTCTCTGGAGTGCAAATAGATCTATGGTAATTGAATGTAATGCTGCAGATAACTTGCTTAAATGTATAACTTCTTTAACTAAACAGATGTGGTGTTTAAACACACTAATGCAACAATGTGCATTTTTGTACAACTTTCAGTATGTATCTGACTAATCAGACATGTGTTTAGAGTCACAGTTCTGGCACACATAAATTGCATGGCCTGAGGTGCAAACATCGCAGGCCCGTTTGTTGCTTTTCACTCACTTAAACCACGTCTTCTTTGGAATACTGTATGAAAATGGTTCCACATAGATGAGGCCAAAAGAGATGTCAGCAGCTTATGTCCAAATCCTTAGCTGTACTTCTGATTGATTTGTTCTTCAATTCACCTGCCTGACTGTCTTTAACATTATGTCAGGTGGTGTGCTGCCATTCTCTGTCTTCTGTTGGTCTTCTTTGCTGTCTATTACACTTGTTGCCTAAAAATTAATCACTGTATGATGTAGTGTGTGTGTGTGTGTTTGTATCTACTAACGTACTACATGCCTACGGTATAAGACCGTATATACTCTGTCATGAATTCAGTCTTGTCCAGGCATATGGCTGCTACTGTAAACAACAGTCCCATTTAATACTTGTGTCAGAGGTAATTACACAATTTCACATAGTTTTTTGAGCATGTTTTATGTGTTTATTTGTACTGGGGCTCGTAATCACATGTGACAACTTGCCCCAAACTGACATGTGTGCTAATGTTGGCTAAATCTCAAGGTTAGAACAACATAGCACTTCAGCTGAAGTATCAAAAGACACGTTACTGTCTTCTCTAAATTGTGCAAAGTTATCATTTTGAACATTCATACCTAATAAGGAATACATAAAATGTAAAGTGCAAATGTTTTACTTTTGAAGCAAAAAAATATAGAAATTGTGCTCAGCTCAGATTAGAGGGACCTTGACCACATGTGAACAGGAAGTTGAACATAGAACAAGAAATCACACAAAGTGGCCATTTTAGTTATGAGCAGTGTGACAACTTACACACGAGACAACTTACCCCGCTCTCCCCTACTACACATGTTAGCTTACTCAGTAATCCTTTTGCTGCGTTTCCGACCTCAAACTAGAAAAAGTACCAGGGGACCATTGATGTCACACAACAATGGAAGCACACATTGTAAATGGTAAACCATAAACTAAAAGGCTACGTAAAGTATGTTTGCCTGTAGGCTATTTCATTGAAATAATAGTCTACACTGAGAGTACACCTGACAAAAAACATCAGTTTACTTTGTCCATCAGCCATGTTTATCTTTGATTTCCCGCATCATGCACCTTATGTACCTGGAAGGCTTTGAGATCGGAAAAATCTTTAAGAAGAGAAAGCGAAGGGTTTCAATGGCTTAACTATAAACACAAAACTATTGACCTAAATCAGGAAAATAAAATTAAACACCCTCCTCTCACAAAGAGAGTGGGAGTAAGAACAAGCACACAGCTCCAGCTCCAGGCTGCCTTCTGGCCCGCTGGCCCTGCAACAACCCCTCCACGGTCCCCACCCTCATTAGAGAGAGGGGACAGCTGCATAAAACCACTGTGCTGCAGGGTTGGGGAGAAAGAGGGAACAGAAGCCACACAGAAAACAACTACAAGACACATGGATTTATGGACTTAACAACACACCATGTAGTGATGGTAGTTTCTCCTGTTTTATTCCAATACATGGACCTTTGTTACATATATACTGTATGTATATATGTGAACATGCATAGTGTCATTTACACTGGGGACATGTCCCCACCACTATTTGAAATGGCTGATTTTGTCCCAATCACTTTTTTAAAGCATAATTTCTTGAAAATGTTCTGAGAATGTAAACTAACACATGAAAGTTTTCTGAGAAAGGTTTATTTGCACAATAAGAAAACATGTAGTGTAATGTAAATACAGAAGAAACAAATGTGCATTGCCAAGAAAAAGTTACTCAAACTAAAAAAAGCAAACAAGATACTGATTCTAAAATCACCCCAAAACACGTGCATGCGCTGACCGGTTTGTTCTTTTGCAAGTCTTCCCTTCTCCCCTGTGAACATGACACACAGCCTGGACGCTGAAGAGTCTGGTTTGTTTCTAAAAGTGTGCAGCATCGAAACAACAAGGCAGATTAACATAACATCTAAAGGTAGGTGTTGTTTTTGGCATTGTTCGATGGACCCGGTATGTGTAGATGTGACAGATGTTTTTGTTTTGTCGACTCTGCAGCAGCCTACACTGCGCACTTTGATGCCCATTATGCAATATGTTCCTGACCCGCAGTAATTTGTACTCTGACGTCATATTGATCCCCCTTATATTTCCTAAAATTGCACATGCTTAAGACCGTTTACATCCCCACCACTTTTCCACACAAAGTGTGTGTGTGTATATATGAGCCTTGTCCAAAGATTGTGATCAGTGAAATCACAGTGATCTCTGCTCTTTGGATAAGGCTCATAAACGTGACAATAAAAATCCCATCTGTCTCTCTGTCGCTGCGTGTTGCTCTGCAGCTTTTACAGAGACTACATATTTTAATCGTAAAGACAGCAGAAAGACCCGGCAGAAAAGGATGGGAGAAAGAGAGGACAATCAGAGAGGGGAAAGGATTAGCACAGAAGAAAACAGGTCAGTGACAGACAAGTTCTCACAACTGATAAAGCTGCATACAAAGCTAAAAAAAGTGAGCTTGTGACAAGTTCTCTGGGTAAAATGACTCAAAACTAATTTATTTATATTAAACCTGGTGTGATTTGTGTCCTTGAGCAAATCCCACTAGAAAAATTCATTTTAAAGTCTAAATGTTGTTCACATTGTTGCATAGATAGACGTGTGATTGGCTCTTCTGTGTGTGTTCCTCCAGGATGAGGGCGCAAGGTTTGGACTTAGGACAAAAGAAACAGCAAGACCTTTATCTGGCCTCTCTAACAAAACAGCAGCTGATAATGATATCTGTGGCTGTTGGACTTGTCCTCCTGCTGATTGTCATAACTGTCACAGCAGTGTTGCTCACCACAAAGTCAGGTACATTCTGCCCTTTGAGTTTTTCAGCTTTATGGGATTTCAACTAATTCTCAGTAAATACATTTAACAGTGATGCAAAATAAATCATTGTAAACAGACCACACTGTTTTATAAGCGTAAAGTATTGAGCATAAAATAAAAACATGATAGTTGTGATTTATTTATAAGCTACTTTCATGGCTTAAAATGATTGTGTATATATGAATTATTCTACAAATAGAAAATCAAACACAAGACATTTCACCTCTCACAAGAGGCTTCATCAGTTCTACTGACAGGAGGGGAGTCCCAGACCTTCAGACCTCTGTGGCTCATTTATCTGTTGATTTTAAATAAGATTCACTGAAGTCACATTTGGTCAAACAGCTGTTATGTAATCATTTGAATTGTGGTGTGAATTGTTAGAATGAATCTAATGAAAGTTGTAAAATAATGAAACATGGAAAAGTCCAAGGAGAGATTTTGATGTGCAGTATATTTAAGTTTATCACTATGTAGAGGTGATAACAGTAGCTAAGATTGATTCATCCATAATCAGGGTAGATACCATTAAGGACACAGAGGTTATGTCCTCTGAACCGGGGGGCAATTTACATTCTGCAGTAACTACTTTTCTTTAATTCAATTCAAATTAGCTTTATTGGCATGAATGTGTAACAACAATATTGCCAAAGCATCATACAAACTACATAAGAACAATCAACCCCATACATTTCATTAAACACGTGATTAAAGCATAATAAGCGTCTTAAGTAATCAAAGCATATGTGTGTTTTTGTTAATTTTTTTTAAATTAAAAATTTAGATGAAATAAATAAATAAAACGGTAAGTGTGTGTGTGTGTTAAAAAAATAAAAATATATTAAAATAAAACAATTAAATAAAACAGTAAGCGTGTGTGTGTGTAAATTTTTTTTAAATATATTAAAAATAAAATAAATAAATAAAACAGTAAGCGTGTGTGTGTTAAAAAAAATATATTAAAAATAAAATAAATAAATAAAACAGTAAGCTGGTGTGTGTGTTAAAAAAACCCATATATAAATTAAAATAAAATAAAATAAGTAAATAAAATGGTAAGCATGTGTTAAAAAATTAAAATATATTAAAATAAAATAATTAAATAAAACAGTAAACTTGTGTGTGTGTTAAAAAAAAATATTAAAAATAAAATAAATAAATAAAACAGTAAGCGTGTGTGTGTTAAAAAAAATACAAATATATTAAAATAAAATAATTAAATAATACAGTAAACTTGTGTGTGTGTTAAAAAAAATATTAAAAATAAAATAAATAAATAAAACAGTAAGCGTGTGTGTGTTAAAAAAAATACAAATATATTAAAATAAAATAATTAAATAATACAGTAAACTTGTGTGTGTGTTAAAAAAAATATTAAAAATAAAATAAATAAATAAAACAGTAAGCGTGTGTGTGTTAAAAAAAAAAATATATATTAAAATAAAATAATTAAATAATACAGTAAACTTGTGTGTGTGTTAAAAAAAAATATTAAAAATAAAATAAATAAATAAAACAGTAAGCGTGTGTGTGTTAAAAAAATAAAAATATATAAAAATAAAATAAATAAATAAAACAGTAAGCGGATATGTGTGTTAAAAAAAAATATATTAAAATTAAAATAAAATAAATAAATAAAACAGTAAGCGTGTGTTTTAAAAAAAATAAAAATATATTAAAATAAAATAAATAAATAAAACAGTAAGCGGGTGTGTGTGTGTGTGTGTAAAAAAAACATATATATTAAAAATAAAATAAAACAAAATAATAATAATTTGAAAATTTGTACAATTATTTATCAGTCTGAGATTCCACTGGTTGTCCTCACTTCATGGCATGAGGAGGTATATTTTGCAGCACTTTACTGCAGGATAGAAAAAAAATGTCACTCAGTTCACTCCCCTACGAAATAAAAACATAACATACTCTATTTAAACAGAACGTCCTGTGTTTGTTTTGCTACCCAATCAGATTCCTCAGCTCCTCTTCCCTTGTTTTCCACTGGTGGAGACATGCTGGACTTCCTGGTTCAGTCGGGTCACATCAGCAAACCTGACGGTCTGTTGGCTACCTGGTTTCACAGAGCCAACAGCAAGAAGGAAATGAACAAAGCTCTCGCAAGTAAACTCACATTGACACACACAGATTCTTCTTTGGTGGTGGAGCTCTGCCGACTAATGTGGTGACAGTGGATTTATTTATACACACTCTCCTGTAACTATGAGGTTCAGATACTGGACATCACCTCTTCTCTCGTCCCCTCAGGTGATGTTATGATCCTGGAGTCTGATGTCACTGTGGAGGGTCATGGGACACCCAATGAGAAGCCAGTCCCTATCATGGCCCACCCCCCTGACATCTATAGTGACAACACTCTGGACCAATGGCTGGATGCTGTACTGGCCTCTAGAAAAGGTAGAGTAGATACAAAATGGAACAGATGTCTCTTTCTGTGTCTTTATCACTTTGTGTTGAAAAGTGTTGGGGACATAAGGGCTCAGATTAGGCGTGAGATGATACACTTAGCTCCCGAGACGTGATGATGCACAGTATTGGGTTTACGAGAACAAAACAAGAAGAGAGCACTAATTTAAAGACTTCATTTCCTGCATTCTGGAGATATTTTCTGCAGCAATTTATGGTGGAAATGTCTTTATTTATATAAAGGAGAAACAAAATTCAGGTTGCAGATGACAATTCAAAATATAAAAATATAACAGAATATAATACAATACACAGTAACTAGTTTGTTTTTATCTTAAGTTACTTTTATTGGACAATGCACATTTCTTTCTTCTATATTTAAAATGCATTGCAGGTTTTCTTAGTGTGCAAATAAACTTCTCAAAGCATTTTCATTTGTTAGTTTCCATTTCTTGTTACTAGCTATTTTTCAGAGCAAATGTTTGACCAATTATGCTTTCAGAAAGTGATGGGGACATGTAATAGTGTTTAATAGTATGAACTTGAGGTCGGATATGTCAATCCATTTATTGTCAGAGCAAGTAGACTTGAAGCAGTACACAGCAACACACCATGCCAATACACAACGCTTACAACACTTTATCTGTACTTTTGTCTGTGTCCGTTCTTAAGAAGCAAACCACAGGGTTTTAATGCTCTTTGTCTCCCTGCAGGCATGAAGTTGGATTTTAAGTCTTTGGCATCAGTGGGTTTGTCATTGGACCTGCTAAGTGGAAAGAACAGTAGCAGAGGGATAAACAGGCCTGTGTGGCTTAATGCCGACGTCCTCCGAGGACCCAACGTACCAAACTTCCTGCCTCCAGTCAATGGAACCAGGTGAAGAAGCCTGATTTTTATGTATTTTGTCCATCGGTTCCCTGCTGTTCACAAGCCAAATTAGTTCCCGATCATAATACATTTCTCTTCTGTCTTCTCTTTTTACGTCCTTCCACCTTTTCCAGATTTCTGCAGCTGATTCAGGAGAAGTTTCCAGACGTCACTTTGTCTCCTGGATGGAAGGTAAGTTCACGTCCTGATCAGGAATCACTGTAGAGTATGTGTATATGACCCTATGGACGTTCCAGTCAGTTGGTCAGATAATCAGTTAGTCTGTGAGTCAAAGATATGTATAGGTAGGATTTTACTAATACTACTTATTATATTATTATTATATTAACAGCCACACTAGAGGCTTTGTGAGGCTGTACTTAGGCACAGGGGCGCTTTGAGCAAAATGCCAACATCAGCATGCTAAAATGCTGAGCTTCATGCTAATATTTACTAATTAGCAGTAAACCCAAAGTACAGCTGAGGCTGATGGGACATTGGATTTGCAGGTATTAGTTCATAAACCAAACAGAAATTTTGACCTGATGTTGTCTTTTGTTGCAGCTAGCTCAGCTGTAGACTTTCAGTCCTGTTGTAGTCCAAATGATTTTGATTCCCCGCTGACGTTGCATTGTTTCTGACAGGTAGCCTATGCTCCTCCACTTTTCATTAAAACCTATACCAGGTCCATGGTGGAAGACATGTATGATATGATCAAAGATGTCCCGCAAAAGGTAAGCTTTAACAGACACAAAAAACAAGTATCAAGCAGAGTGAAAATGGATAAATAATATCGTTAACTGCTAACTTCCATCCATCGTCACCCGCTTATCCTGCGTACAGGGTCGCTGGAGCCCGAGCGAACACCCTGGACAGGTCGCCACACATAGACAGACAACCAGGCACACGCACACCACGTCACCAATTAACCTAGTCCGCACCTCTTTGGACGGTGCACCACAGTGAGAACATGCAAACACAGAAAGGCCTGGACCGACCAAGGTTCAAACCCACGACCTTCTTGCTGTGAGTGCTGTACCACCGCGCCGCCTACTTACCTAAACAAAACAAAGAACAAAAGAAAATACAGGCCGCTTACTTACGTCCTATAAACAGGAGAAATAGGTTAAAACAGAAAAAGCTTTTCCTCCCTAAAGTTTTCCAGGGCTGCACTTTAGTTATCGACTTACATTCTACTACAAATCTAAGAAGAAGAAGAAGATGATACTTCTTTGATACTTTATTGTCACATACACATACATGTTGTGCGGCGCCCACGAACCAACCAAATCGTAGCTCCACACTGGCAAGACTCAGCAGTCACTAAACAGCTCAGCAAGGCACAACAGAATCTGTTTGGGAGGCAGCAAAAGGAGGAGACCTCACAGCATCAGCATGCTAGGAAGGTTCCTAACTGAGCGAAATGACCCCGAAGTGTTTAAGTGGCAGCCATGATAAGAGCTGGTCACCCGCTTATCCTGCGTACAGGGTCGCTGGGGGCTGGAGCCAATCTCAGCTGACATCGGGCGAAAGGCGGGGTACACCCTGGACAGGTCGCCAGCCCATCGCAGGGCCACACATAGACAAACAACCAGGCACACGCACACCTAAGGTCAATTTAGCGTCACCAGTCAACCTAGTCCGCACCTCTTTGGACGGTGGGAGGAAGCCGGTGCACCCGGAGAGAACCCACGCAGACACGGGGAGAACATGCAAACTCCACACAGAAAGGAACGACCAAGGTTCGAACCCACGACCTTCGTGGTGTGAGGCGAAGTAGCAAAGTGTTTAAGTGGCAGCCAATATAAGAGCTGGTTGAATTCTCTAAAAGCTGAGGAAAGGAGCCTCAATGCTATTATCATCATAACAAAATACTATACACATAAATCTTGTTTTGCTGAACCCCCACATTGTGGAATGTAATAAAAAATCTATTTTCTCAACATCCTTTCTTTTTTGCAAAGCATTGGGTTTGTCACTGTAGGCTAATTATTTTCCGTGGTTCAGAAGTAATGTGTGTTTTTTAAAGCCTAGAGTAAAGTGCAGTAGGATTCTCTGAGCACAGCCGTTGTCTTTATGAAATGACCTTCACATCTTTCCTTGACCTTGTGACATTTTCATCAAGGTCAAGGAAAAGTGTGCGACAATAGTAGATGTATCAGCTGAAAGTCTCTGACAATGAAAATGGGCAGTAAAACATTAAAAATCATTTGTCTCTTTAGGTGACGTTCCCAGTCCACGCCCTGTTGGTCCGCAGTGGCTGGCAGCACATCAGCTGGCTCCTCAGCCAGTCACCACGGTAACACTCGCATGTGTATTATGACAATGACTGAAAATCACTCATCATTTAATAATAAGAATGTCCCACTCCTCAGACTTTTAATGCAGACATTTAAGTGATACTCCAGAGCATATTCACTCACGATATCATCCGTGTGCTTGTGATTTTACTCATATTGTTGTGTTCTGTTCCGCTGATCTGTGTCACTGTTGGGATTTGGTTTCCAGGTTCAGTCTGACACTGTGGCAGGGTTCGATTCACCCGAACATCAGTGACCTGCTGTTCATACGGGACAACACTCAACCCACCAGAGTCTACTACGATATCTATGAACCAACGCTGTCTGCCTTTAAACAGGCTGCAAGTAAGGAAGGAGCTTTTTCTCTGAACAGTAACAGAGTCGAGTCAGTGATTCTAAAACCAAAAATATTTTGAATACAATCATTTTAAAAATGCACATATGTTTTAATCCAGAAAAAGTTGCCAAATGGGTGAAAAATGTAGAAAGAATCTATGATTTAGCATTTGTATCACTGAATAAACAAATACTAAAACTACATATGAGCCTAACCTAAAGCAAAGCTAAAACACCTGAAAATAAAGGCAGCCCTGAAGGACTCCTCTGTATTGGACAGTAACATTGTGAACAATTCATTGCGAAGATTGTGGAAACGTCTCATAATTCATAGGTAAAAGACAAAATATTTTGTTAGCATTGAACAGCGACGGCTCCCCGTGACGCCTTGACAGCGTGTCACTGGCTACAGGATATGTTCTTATAAATCTTATTAAATGTAACTATACTACTATAGTTAACTACTAATACTACTATATGTTGAAATTACTGTACTTACCTCACTACTTAACTTATAGCACTGAAATATTTTACCATGAAAACCATCTATTTAAATTTGTGAGGATAAATTCCCTTATTTCAAATTTCCAGGAGTTCATTTTACGTTTTGAAAAACTTTTTTTGGGGGTGTTTCACTAATTCAGATAAGTTCATTGAGTTCTGATTTTTCTTTTTTGATCACATGACTGGCAGAATGTAACCAGATAGGACAGTTTTATGCATTGATTCTCCTTGTTATGCGATCCAGAATTTTTGATGTTTCAATTTCACCTATCCAATGTGAGAAGCAATGTCTGTATTTGAGTTTAAACATTTTTAAAATAGACTTTACTACATTCCATTGCTCATAAATCTTGCTTCAGACATGCAGCAAAGTGCGGCAGGTCAGATTTGAACACGGGCTGCTGCAACAAGGACTTAGCCTTCGTGCATTCGCCCCATTCTAGTTACCTACTGATGTATTGATTGTGTTTACAGTGCAGCGGGGCCGTCTGAGGCGGTTCTATCCTGGAGGAGACCTGATGGACTTCCTCTATCCAGTTCACAGCTCAGATACCAACTTCCTGTCCGCATCCACACAACCCAACAGCCTGGGCATCCATTGGTTTACAGTCACTGATCAGACCTCCCTGTTAGCTCAGCTTTCAGGTATGTAGACAAAAAAACAGCTTCTTTACACAGTTTCTTTAGACATACAGACATTAACTTTTATTATTTTTCACTTGATGAATAATTGATGAACTGATAGTAGGCTGTTTGGCTTCACTGAAATGTGTCATCAAACCATTCTCTCCATGTTCAGTAACTCTATTCTTTAAACCCCTAACTCTGGAGCCATCCGGTGGTAGTGTCAAACACTACTACACAAAACTGTGTGGCATCACAATACCATCATTTTGAAATATGACATAATCTCAAATTTCACACATTTTGATAAGCTGGTAAGCACAAATAAATTCCCTCCCATGAGTTATTGTGTGATTGCATCTCTTAATGCTATCATAGCATGCAACATCTTTTTGTGTTGACGTAGCATGGTGGCTCAGCGGTTAGCACAGCAAGAAGGGTTCGATTGATTGTAGGTCATTTTTACACTGCATAAAAGTGTTAAATGCATATACTCTGATAGACCAAATTTCTTGCACCCCCCACGACTCCCTCAAGTGCCCTTTTTTGTTGTTAGATGGTCGCTGAGTGATTTTAGCAGATCCGTTTTGTATCTGGATTATTGGGGTTATCAGTGTAAATATTGAAGTGTCCTGAGACAACAGTCAAAATTTATAGAAATTTTGGATTGTAGCTCAGAAAATTCCTCTAAGAATACGTGTTTAAGTTACAGTGTAACTGATATTGTAGGGGGGACAGATTTATGGACGAAAGCAGCATATTCAAAGGATGACAAATTGCCAAAAGACATATTATTAAAGCTTAAATTAGGATGCAGACCATGCATGTCATTGCACTGTGTATGACTATATATGTGACAAAAAAGTTGATTTATTTATTTAGTTGTACCTTCATTTCTTCATTGTGTTCAGTCAGGACATCCCGATAACATCTGTGGGTTTTTTGAACCACGCTTCATCACTGCAGCAATAATGAACCATTCGCCCTGTTCACCTTCACTGCCTTCTAACATCTGTGTGTCCAGATGGTGCTGGCGGCATGTTGGTGGTTCGGGTGGCTTCTGACAGCAACCGGCCTGAAGTCCCTCTGGTGGAAGGTTCTGCAAATCGCTCAGAGGCCCTCACACTGCAGGTATGTTAACAAAAATCAGTTTGTTCGGTTTTTATTTTTCATTTCTTAAAATAATTATTAGACTGAGACATTTCAGTTGGGCCATACAATAACTGGCTGATAGTTCCCTCCTTCACTCAGATAACAGTATAAACTTTTACTCCAGCTGATAGTAAGAGCATTTTCAATACGGATCTTAAACTATATACCTTAATCTGTTTCTGAATCCATCTGAGGCAAGAAATTAGCCAAGATGCTGGTGAAACGGGGCTCTATTTTAAATCTACAACTCCAACTTCATTCAAATATTTGCTTTTAGTGGAGAGGAGATTTAAGAGGTCAGCAAGTGACATCAGTACAACATTCTCTGTAGTACGGGGATTTGTTTATATGTCAAGTAGAGTTCAGTGGACTCACACAGGATGTTTTCCAGATTTGAATCTGATAGCAAAAACCGAGCTGGTGTCTGCCTTTGCTTTATATCATCTTTGTAGATTTGTGCAGCTCTTGTATTTCTCTGTTCTGTGAAGAGTCTTGACTTACAACCATAAATGCACCGTAGACGATAAATGTGCATGTGGATAAAAACGGCCTTATGTGTAATATGTCTTTGAAGGATGTCCTGCAGCTGCTTGGGAAAAGGGCGGATGTACCCTGGGGTGTTCACCTTCGGATCCACACTCAACAGCTTCTGGAAGCTTCTCTTGAACTGCTGCACTCAGCCTACAGCAGAGAGAAGCTCTACAGGCCTGTCTGGATCAGCATGGAGGGTTTACAGAGCACTGACAACACAAAGGTATGCAGTTTCCTTCCTGACTTCTCTGCATCCACCAAAAGGGGTTCTGATTTCATTCCAGATTGAGTTTCTCCTACAGCAGATTAAAAGTGTTAAAGCTGTATTAGTATGTGAAGAACTGTAGGTCAGGCTGAATTATAAGCCTCCAGTCAGACAGGAGAAAGAACAAACAACTGTGGTATCTGCGGTTAAATGACCATGCCAGTGCTTTTGCACGTTTCAGCACATTTACCACACCACATATTTTACATCGCAGCTAACAATTCTGCAAACTGTGTTTTTTTGTTTTGTCAAAAAAAGTTAATTCCATTTGGAATACCACAAGGTTCTGTCCTAGGTCCAGTACTGTTCAGTAGATATATGTTAACCCTTGGGGTCATCCTCTGTAAGCAAAGAATTGATTTATACTGTTATGCAGATGACACCCTGCTTTTTATAGCTGTTGATCCTGATGTCCTGATGTGTCCTTTACTCCCCTGAGAACTGCTTATCTGACATCAATATGGACAACCCAAAATTTCCTCAATCTACAAGACTAAACAAAAGTCTTGGACAATGGACTAACAGAGACTGAACAGAAGCAAAGGCATTTTGTAATGACACAGACACACACAGTCAGGCAGAGTAATTAACTCCAGGTGATACACATTGGATAATCAGGCAGAGAGGAAGCAAAACTTAACACAGACAACAGGAGCAGAAACCTACAAACTAAAACAGGAGACAGTCAGACACAGGGACCATCAGATAGACAACAGGCAAATTTAAAATAACCAGGACAAGCACACTGAACGAAAACTTCAGAAACACAGACCAAACAGATGTCAAAATAAGACAAGGAAACAGAGATCAGGAAACACAGAACACAGAGCAGAACAGGTCAAACCATGACAGGTTCTTGTTGTTGTCTATAATTGTATTGACTTGACTAGTTGGGTAATATGATGCAAAGATATGTCCCTGGTGGTTCCCTCTGATCCACAGACTCTATGCTGTATGTGTGTATATATTTGTACGTATATATATATGTGTGTGTGTGTGTATAAATAAAAATGTAGGATGTTCCATCATATAAGATGTGGACGACTGAATAACACGTAATTGTAGGCCAAAATATTTTGAAACTTATATGTCACACATAATCAGGGATCAGTTGTTTTTTAAGTGCATTTTTGACTGTGCTTTTGTTCCACTACATACAGCACAGTAGTGTTAATACTCCGTCGTCTTTCAGGAGTTTGTATCCACAGTAGAGAGGCTGTTCCCTTACGTCACCCTCGTCCTGACGGAGCAGAACTGGCCTCCTCTGATCCCGGCGACAGTGACGGGCTTGTCTCAGAGAGCGGCTCTACATCTGAACACGGCCTTGCTGCCCGAAGGACAGGATGCGCTTAACTCGCTAATGGGAATGATGGATAGATATGACCTGTTAGTGGAGGAGGACACAGAAAGCAGTGCTGGAGCTTTTACAGCCTTCAAAGGACTTATGGCCCAACGTACAGGGAGATCAACCACAAACCTGTATCTGATTTCTGACTGAGTAGATCTATCTATCTTCAGAGTGTGATACTCAGTCAGAGCCTAAATGATAAATTGGAGGGCTAATTTTTTCACCTGATATTGGCTCATCACTGATCAATTTCTTGTTCATAATGCAATAAAAGCGGTTGGTTGTATTGTCTTGCACTGAAAGAAAATAAAATGTAGGAACACTCTGGTAGGTGTTAATTGTACATGTATCGTGACATCTTTCGCACCTCTCAATTTACTGAAAAAGGGGAGTGTATTGGTATGCAGTATAGACAGCACCCTGCACAGCTGGGGGTCTGATTTCCACACCTGTTGGTTTGTTCCATTTACTGACTATGCAGCACCAGTGTTAGCAGAAACAAGACTAAGGCCCCATCCACACTGCAGCGTTTTCGTTTCAAAACGGAGACCTTTTGCTACGTTTGCACCTCCCGTTCGACGAAGGCCTAAAAGGGAGAAGTTTGAAAACGCTTCCGACCGCGTTTTTCGTTTTAAAGCTTCGGAGAGCAGTTTAGTGCGGACGGGCAAAAAACGGAGGACTTTAGAAACGATGACGCAGACGCTCACGTTTGGCTCTCAGATTGGGTCACATAAGTCATGCAAAGCAGAAACACGATGCTACTGACAGTTTTTGATTTGCTATTTTTATTAAATTATTTTGTACCGTGCAAATAACACCTACACTTGTCACCGTTTACTTTTTGACTACTCTCAGACTGTTTTCCGCCACCACCGCTGCTTTTGACTCCTGTGTTACATTCAGTAACAGTCCCAGCTCGTTGTTGGTCCATGCAAAAAAAACTGGTGTGGTTCCTCGTCTGCATTACTTTATTATCTCACCAAATCTTCTACGGAGTAGACCATCTGCTTCATGTTTACACCGGCACGTGCATGCCCAGTGTACATGAATGGCCACTAAATGTGCGTTTTCAGTCGTAGTGTATAAGGGGCCTGACGCATCTTCAGCCTTGCTAGCTGCTCTGTAGCTCTGCATTGCCACATGCTCACAATGATAATGCTTGCAGGTTGATGTTTAGCAGGTAAAATGTTTTCAATGTTAGTTTCGCCTTTGAGCAATTATTACATTTGCTAATTAGCACTAAACATAGAAGGATTGTCATTAGTTTAGCAGGTATTTGCTCATAAACCAAAGTTTTGGATAAACAGAAGTGTTGACCTGATTCAGGAGTTGGGAGATAAAAAAAAGTTGGAACAATCTTATTCACCTTACATTTATTCATTTAGCTGACCCTCTTATCCAAAGTGACTTACAACTGCTATACATATCAGAGGTCGCACCCCTCTGGAGCAACTAGGGGTTAAGTGTCTTGCTCAAGGACACATTGGTGGATGGGTCACAGTGGGGGATTGAACCCGGGTCTCCCACGTGTCTTATCCACTGCACCATCACCACCCCGCCAATAAGCAATATTATTAGGAAACATTTCCATTTCCATTGTTACGCAGATGATACCCAATTATAAATCAAGCCAGATGAAACCAATCAGTTAGCTAAACATGCAGTGTGCCTTAAGAACGTAATTGGATGACCTGTAATTTTCTGATGTTAAACTCAGACAAATGTCAGCCCCAAACACCTCCGAGATGCATTATCTAAAGATACAATTTCCATGGGTGGCATCGCCCTGGCCTCCAACACCACTGTGAGGAATGACTGAGTTAACTTTGATCAGGACATGTCCTTTGACTCTCACATAAAACAAACTTCAAGGACTGCCTTTTTTCACCTATGTAATATTGCCAAAATGAGGAACATCCTGTCTGAAAATGATGTAGAAAAACAAGTCTATGCATTTGTTTCTTCTAGACTGGATTATTGCAACTCTCTTTGGTTATACAAGGGCCAGATGGCTCGTAGCAATGGCCCCTGTACACCACAGTCCTGCAGTACACCCCACAGGATTCTCTGGGGGACAGGATCATAAGTAGATGTAGACAGTGTGAATGGCGGGAGGGTAGGTGTACGGGTACCATGTTGCCACAGGAGATAGCCACAGAGCTAACACATACTCTCCTCCACACACCACTGCTAAAAGCAACATCATGGATTTGAGAGGCATCGAAAACAGGTAGGAGACATCAGAGCCAGATGTTAGTTTGACATTTGGGTGAAATAAATGGCCCAGTTATTCTCATTTCTGACATGCATGTGAAATGAAACCTTTTCTTTCACGTGAAAAAACAGATGATGAAATCAGGGCCCGTATTTATCAAGCTTCTCAGATTTACTCATAAGAACACTGCTAAGGATTGACTTAAGAGTAAAAAAATTCTTGGCTCAAAGCAGTGCTTAAAAGTTCGTTATCAAGCATCTCATTCCTAATTTGAGTGAAGTGTAGGACTAAATCTTAAGTGTCAGTCTTAGTGCTGATTTACGACACTATGCTGTGCCGCAAACAGTACTTTGGATGACGATGTAGCCAAGGACCAATCACTGAATAGATTTCCTTCTTTAATATTCTAAAATCACATTGAATGGTGAAATTCCTAAGAGGAGTTTATATTCAACACACATTTGACAATTAAGTATTTTTAAGAGAATACATTATGATATACACAATAATAAATGAAATATATATGAGTGCTATCAACTGCACCTACTACTCCTGGGAAGCCGACTATTTGCATGAATTTTGTTTGCTTCTATTAGATTACGGGGGGTGTTGTTGGGAAGTCGATGAACCGCATGACAATGAGTCAAGCTGTAAGTGCCATAAATGTTTCCGTGACAAATCGGCTGAATGATGGTTGTGATGGCCCCAAATCATCAGTATTGCTACATTTGTCCTGTGGCAAAGAAACTGAGTCATCACAACCGTCAGTTTAGCTGAAAACGCATTGCTGTCAGTGGTGACATGACGTCGCTCACCAACTCACTGACAAAGATTATCATGATTATGATGCCTGTGCTGTCCGACCCCGTCTAATCAACTACGCGTTGTCAAATAATTCAAAAACATTCTTCCTCTCCTGAAATATTTGTGCATGTCTCTGTCTCCACAGTGCCATCACAAGGCCCTACTGGCAACTCCTAACCACTTGAGAGACCTCTGGAGCTGCCTTAAATAACTGTGAGATCAATCATCAATCAATAGATCATAAAAGATGCAATAAAATATCAAACATCATTTCATGTAAGTAACTAGATGGGTGCCATAGATAAACAAGACACTAGAGGGAAACAAAATTCATTAAAAAGCAGTGGTTAGTTGGGGCTGTTTGTCATGTTTCCACCAAAGAGACATTTCCCATCTAAAATTCTCAGATGCTTTCATTTAAATAACAGCTTTAGAACCAAAAAGGTCAAATGATCAATCATTTCACAAAAAGATTATAGGTAAGTGCAAAAAACAGATTTGTCAGAACTTTTTTCTTCTGTACCCTCCCATTAATAATTTCACAACCCCTGAGATTTATCTTATGACCCTTATGAGAGGCACCACCCCTAGGTCTGAAACCACCAGACTAAACTACCTGATTGTATATCAAGTAGCTAAAAGTAGCTCCACCTACAAAGCAGGTACAAAGTATGACATTAAAATTCTGCTTAAAAAGTGATGCATCAGTGTTAAAAATCTAATATTTAATAATAATAATAAAAATATCAGCCACAGGGCCATTTTATAATCAGAGTGCATACTTTTGATACTAAGTATGTAGTAGTAAATATAGTCTCCCTCCACATTCTTAAAACTACCACCTGAAGCTTTCTTGAGGAAGTACTTTTGTGTCTTTCACTCCACTGTTCATCCCCAAAGGAAGCAGCAATCAGTCAGACACAGACGCTCGTCAAAAGCAGCTGATCCTTTATTCTTTGTGTGATACAGTACGCAAAAACAACAACAGCAGCTCTGTGGGCAATGAAACAAGAGGTAAACATCACCCAGGGGTAAACCGTCAGTGACTGTACACAGTGTACACAGTATATTGGATAGATGAGAGTTTGGCTGTAAAAGTTTTCACTGGCAGCCAAGTTGGTAAAGTGCCACACTCGAGCTCCTCAGTTGTTTCTGGGTTGTATTTGTACTAATCTTATTCAAAATATAATATTTTCACGCCAGTAGCAACTCCAGTGATGTATTTTTATTTAGTTCCTTGTTGAATGAGTATAACCAGGTGCTCAGAACCTGCGAATGCTACTTTTTGTAGCACTTTTCCAATTTCCCACTTGACAATTCAAATTTCCATCAAGAGCAAAATTCATTTTAAAGGAACATTTTTAGAAATATGCCTGTGTCCTTAAGTGATCGTACTTGAATCTGTTTCAGTTGGGGCTGACAACTGCAAGTTTGAAAATGTGAAAATTTGGAGGTGTGGAGTTAGAAAGAGGCGAGCTCACCAGACCTCTGAAGCCAGCGTCTCATCTCTGCTTGACACCAGCAGGTCCAGGCTACTGTAGCTTCTACTAGCACAACACACCGGACACACAATGAACGGGTTTTGACAAGGAAGGGAAATGCTTGTAATAATGCAGAAGATTTATCTGGTTCTACTGCAATGTTTTTGATATTGTTTTAAACTGTTCATCATGAGTTTGCTATTTTGTAGGCAAAATGGAGCAGTGACATGGTACAAGCTGGTCACTATGAAGAAGCAACACCTTTTTTTGGTACTGTGTTGAAAAAGGAGTGAGTATACAGTAAAGTTGGTACATTATTCAGTCTAGGGCAGTAGGCTGTGTTGTGTCTGTATATTGTGTAATTACATGTTTTTGAGTGGCAGAACAAAGAGCATAGTTACGTATCAGCATGTCACCAGTAGTACAACCTGATCAAACTGTGAAGCAGGACTGGACCAAGGCTCAGGGGGCTCAGTTAAATTTTTTCCCCTGGTCCAGTCTGTCTTTTCCTGCTGCCACAGTTATAACAAAGCTGCCTTATGGCTTTCATGTGCTTTGGATGCACCCTCTTTAGCAGAACATAGCACTTTAGGAAGAAGTGAGGTAAATTATAGGTCCAGGAGCCTCTCCAGGAACCATCACCTTATCGTGGAGGAGAGGTTTGCATGCCCCTGTGAGTGTTGTCTGGAGACTAGTGCTCCTGGTAGGGTCTCCCAAGGCAAAGTTGTTCCAGGTGAGGGGCCAGACGGAGAATGGTTCATAAAGACCCCTGATGAAAAATCGAGGAAGAGGAAGAGATACCCTGCCCGGAGGAAACCCGGGGCCCC